GTCTAAGGAAGTAAACTCTCACTCAAACTAGCTTCAAGATCTGCTAAAAGGGTTCTGTATAAAGTTGGGTACTTTTATTTTCCTCTTCCTTAGTACATGATACATGATAGGAGCATGGCTTGTGGTCTCTTCCCCAGTTGTGTCTGTGTACATAAGTATGTGTGTGTCTCTCTGGTAGTACAAATCTTGCTATGAACCCTGTATTTTAGGGTTGGACTAGATGACCCCAGGGTCCCTTTCAACGCTCCCGATTTGTGGCTGTGTGGAGGGCCATGTGTCTGCAAGCATGTGATGAGTTGAAATTCAGCCCAGCTTTGCTCTATGTTTTTAAAAGGTGAGAGTGAAAACCGTGATGTTTTTGAAGCAGAGCTGGCAATATCAAGCATTTGAGTGATTACAGTGTTTATCATTTTGTCTATTATTTACTTAAAAGTCTGTTCAAAGTCAACTACAAATACAATATGTGCAGTGTGCATAGGAATTCATTAACCCCCCCAATAGTCCGGCCCACCACAAGGTCTAGGGACAGTGGACCGGCCCACGGCTCAAAAAGGTTGCAACTCCATCCCACTCCTACTTGCCTGTAAGCAGGAGCAGGCTGGGGTGGTCGTGGCGGTGCGTTGAACTGTATCCCCCCCCCCCCCGTGGTGATTTTCTTGTGTCAAAATGAGAGTACCCCTAAACATTTTTTAGAAAAAAAGCACTGCGTTATACCATAAAATTATATATCAATGGCAAGATAATTTTAATGAAGAATGTAAGGCAATAACTTTTATGAAGGATTATTTATCACAACAGAAGTCATACAGAAGAAGCGTGAAACACACAGAAAAACTGATATACAAGTTAAACTGCCAGGTTGGCACTTTGCGAGAAATAAGTGGGTTTTGGGTTGCAGTTTGGGCCCTCGGTCTCTGGCCTAACCCTTCTACAACTGATCCGATTTCCCCTGTAAAAATACCAAACCATTTTGTATGTAGCGGGAACTACACAGAATCATAGAATTGGAAGGGTCAACTAGTCCAACCCTCCTGCAATGCAGGAATCTCCACAAAAGCATCCATGAAACAGGGCCTCTCAGTGGAGCCTGTGAGCCTGGAGTGAATGCTCTTCCTTTCTTAAAATATTGTGTAGTTTTGTTTTGTTTTTATTTCCAAAGGAAAAAGCTATTTGTTTTTGCAGGCACTTTCTGGGACTTGAATCTGTATTCATAAACAGTTATTTTGCAGCAAAAGGAGGATCTTACGCTCTGTTACTTTTCCATCTCTGAATGTAGTCTAGGAGGAGGTGCAAGCCCTGAATGTGTGCTGCAACAGCAAGAAGGATGCTGGAGGAGGAAGCAGGAAGGGTGCGGGGTGAGTTCAGATTCTGAGAGGTGCCCAGCAGGGCTCGTAGGGCAATTGTAGTGGCTTGGAAGGTCAGGAGGTAAAGACAAATACAGTCAAGTGGTGATACAATTGAATGAGTGGTTTATCCAGTCATTAAAAAAAACAAAACATTCTCTTAGGTTGCTTTTGGTTCAGTATTTATCTTGCAAGTTATCTGTTTGCATGCGTATCCCGCTGAACAGGAGTACCCCTCCTGAGGGCCGGGGACCCCACAGCAGCCCTCCCTCGCCTCTGCAAGTCTGGTTTTATTTTTCTTCATTCAGCTGCCGGACAACCCAGCAGCCTGGCCCGTTTGCCAGCTGATGTCACAAAGTGCTGCTTTGCAAGCAAGCCTTATAATGCCCTGCAAGGGGGATGCCTGTCAGAGGACAGTGAGACTTGGTAGAGAAAGATGGATTCTCCAGGTAGGAGGCCTAGAGGAGATGAGTGGCAATATTATTATTGTGAGGTGATGCTATTACAATTCCAAAGGGAATGCCAAGCAGGAGGGAGGGAAGAGAGAGAGTGGAATTCTGGTGGAGACGGAAGCTGGAAGGAGGCTTGGAAAGGGAGTTTGAAGGGGGGGCAGGTGAGAGTCGGTTGAGAGCGGTGGGCTCTAGAAGGGGGCCCGAGGGGGGGGGGCTGAAGCTGAGCTGGACACAGCCGCCATTGCTCTGAGCAGCACAGCCGCCATCGCTCTGAGCATGTGGCCGTTCAGTGCCGAGAGAAGGGGGTCTCTCCCAACTTGGCGGCAAGAGGATTCCATTAATTCAGGTGAGCCATGGAGCCAGGGCTTGGCTTTGGAGTATTCAGGAAAGGCGCCTAGCAGGCTTCAGCTTGCATGGGGCAGGAGCCTGGTGAAATTACTTCCAAATTATTTCTTTGTGCCATCGCTGCGCGTGATACCTGATCAAACGGTCCCTGCCCCAAGGGGCTTACAATCTTTAATAGGGCACATGGAGGGAACAGGGAAAGGTTGAGGTCCAGGCTGGATCCTGAGTCTAGGTCTCTGAGTTTAGACTTTGGAATTCCCGGACATTTCCCACCTGTAACCTCTTCCTCTGTTTTTTATTTTCCTTTCTGTCTCCTAGGACAAAAAAGGCTCCTGAGACGCCAAAACATGAAGGAAGCTGGTGTGCCACTGAATCAACCATTGGAGTTTGTGGTAATTCCATGGGGAATCCATTCCCCACATGTGCAGGGAGGTCATGGCGCTGACCTGAGTGAAACAGGGCTGGGTTGGGGGGTTGCAGTCCCGTCTCGCCCCAGCCCCTTGCTCCCCTCCTTCCAAGCCAGGGGTCAGGCGCCCAGGCAGGAGCAGGCTGGCAGCCTGTGGTGACGTGGGCATGGGCAGCCTGGCATGGGTGCTTGTTCTGCCCCCCTAGAGAGTACAATGTCCTTCTTCCTTTGCAGGGCCGTGGTTTGGGGAACCAGCAGCAGCCCAGCGGTGCAGGGAAAACCAGCAAAATCCGGAGGTATGTTGTGACCTTGTGTGGCAGGGGAAGTGTTTCCCAGTGATCTTGGGGGTGGAGGAGGAAGGCCTGATTTAGAGATCCCTGTAGTTTTATGGAGAGGGTTTCTCTGTGGTCCAGGCAGGGCCCTAGCTAGGGGGTGGTGAGATGGGCCCCCGCCAGGGGCGCACGTGAGGGGTGGGGCACAAAATTGCCTCAAAAAGATGTCCAGAAATATGTCTAAGTATATAGATGATAATAATAAATATTATCATCTATATATTTATCTGGAACTCCTCCAAGCAATCAGTCAAGAGGTGATACAACTGAATGAGTGGTTTATCCTGTCATTAAAAAAAAGAAGATATTTTTCTTAGGTTGCTTTTGGTTCAGTATTTATCTTGTAAGCTATCTGTTTGCATGCGTTTCCAGGTGAACAAGGAGGAGTACCTCTCCTGCGGGCCGGCAACCCCACAGCAGCCCTCCCTCGCCTATCATGGCATGGAAGTGCAAAAAAAAGAAGAAACATCTTTGAAGGTCAGATGAGCAGGACCAGCACTCTCTGCCCAGCCCAGAAAGGAGGCGGGAGCCATCAATGTTTGTTCTGACAGCCTGGAGGCTGCTGGAGATGCGAAGCAGGTAGGGTGCGGGGTGGGTTCAGATTCTGAGAGGTGCCCAGCAGGGCTCGTAGCACAATGGTAGTGGCCTTTCTGCTCTAGAACCAGGCCTTTGGCTAATTAAACAATGTATGGCCTTTTAAACATGCTTGTGGATTGGGAGGTTGGCTTATGAGTTCATTTTTGTTTTTAATGTGTATACTGTTTTTTTATTTTGTCTTTTTATGCTGCAAGCCTCCCTGAGAGCTTCAGATGAAGGACGGCATACAGATTAAATTAATCGATTGACTGATTAATGATCATGGCAGTTTCCCAGAATCTGGAGGTGAATTGTCAGGCTAGAAATGGAAAGCGGGAAAAGGAGTCCCAAGACCACCTCGTGCCTTGGCCTGCGTTCCCTCTTCGCCTGTGTCCAAAAGGCCTTTAAAAAAGTGCGCCGCCTGCGCCACCACTGGAACCCGGAACCAGCACCAGCAGGGCGCAAGCAGAGAGGAGGCTGCTCTGCACGCGGCTGAGGCGGTGGATTCGCCAACACAGCAGCTGCATGCACCCAGCGGCACTTTGAGGATGAGGAAACACCACTGCTTCCCCGGCCACTACCCCACCAGCAGCCACCGGGTTTTCCAAAAAGCACCGCCACCCGTGCAACCAAGCACCAGCACCAGCAGAGGGGCGCAAGCAGAACCGAGGCCACTGGGCAGGCGGAGACAGGGGAATTGAGGGGGGGTCGGGCAGGGCTCTGCTGGTCGCCCAGGGGCATGTCCTTGCCGCCGCCACACAAGTAAGTCTCGTGGGGCTCTGATGGGGTACCAGGAGTCTCCTTGACGGGGGTGCGGCTCCGAGCAGATGACCCCCGCTGGGGATTCTTTTTCCCACCTTCCTTCGCTGATCTGACCTGTGAGAAAAGAAAACAATTCACCATCAGTGCTGGGAAGAGGGGAGAGACTTCCCAGAATCCCCTGCAACCTGGCCTGACCCTGCAAGGCTGTCCTTCGTCTTCCCTCCTCCTCTGTCCGCCACACACCTCCTTGAGGCATCCAGAGTCCCCCAAGGTGTCGCTCTTGTAGGTTTCATGGTCTAAGCTCAGGGACGGTCCGAGTCAGCGTCTCTCTGGGAGTCAAGGGGTTTCTTCCCATTTGGGCTCCTCCTGCACACATCCTTGGAGTTGCCGATATCCATTGAAACTTCAATAACAAAACATAAAAGCCACCAAATTAAAATTATTCTAAAAACAGGTAACAAATCCTAAAAGCAATCAGCGGCTCTCCAAACAACTTCAGAATTGCCAGGGACAGGGCTTTCAACTCCCAAATACCTTGTTTAAACAGGGATACCTTTAAATTTCTCATAGAAGCTAATAGCGAGGGAGACGGATGCACCTCACGAGTGAGGGCATCTCACAAACGGGAAGCCACTGCCTTGTCTTGGGTTACCACCAACCAGGCACCCTGGCAGCCTTGTGTTAATCTTGTAGATGCAGGGTTGCGTGGGCAGAGGACTTCTGCCCACAAATGGGGCATCTTTTACCCCGGCCAGGCTAAACATGTCCACTCCCTTCCAACCTTTCTTCATCGGACTGTTCCCCACCCGTTCCAGTTTGTCCCTACCCTCCTTTAAAGTGTGGGACCCTCAACTGGGCACATTCCCACTGGTGTTCAGGGAAATCACACCTGGCCTAACAGGCCTCTCATTCCAGGCACCGTTTTGGAAGGAAGCAGCACTTTCTCTGTTTTTTAAAAGGTGTTTTTTTACCAATATGGTAAGTTCTAGACAAAAACGAATGTGTGACTGATCATGTATCACATCCTCTTTCTGGAGATCCCTGGGTGGTGTTGATGCTGCTGCTTATATCTTCTTTTTTGATATAAAGAGGAAAGGGGAGGTTGGAACATAAGCAATCTGGTTCTGAAACAGGTCTCCCAGCTCCTCCTGGAAGCGGGACATAACTGAATCACATTGGCTGTGGGTGAATGCGACCGTCCCAGCTGGATTACGCCAGTGGCACTGGTGGCAGCGCTTTCCTAAAGATCTCCCAGACCCAGGAGACAAGGGAACGGAAACCAAGGCATGTGGGGCTCTGATGGGGTGCCAGGAGTCTCCTGGATTGAGGTGTGGCCCCCTCAAATTCATACTCTACACGTGTTCTATGAATCCTGCTAACGTTTTCAGAGAGAGAGATGGCTGAGTGACTGGACCTTTCGTTAGGTCTGCTAGGGTCACATGCAGAGGGAGGATGCTCCACACAGGTGTAACAGGAAGTTCAATTGGCTGGATCAATATCCTCCTGTCTGTGTCCACTCTAGGCAAACAAGGAATGTTGTATTTGACTGCCAAAAGGATTACATCCCACATATTTTACCCTGTGCAGTCTTTAAACCTCTTTTCTTAGGTTCTTAAAGAATAGCAGTTGTTGCTCACTGAACAAAACCTGTTGGCAATCTGTGCCTCTCCATGAATTGACAAACTCCCATCACCTTTGAGCACTGTATATGCCAGGGTTTCCCAGGCTTGGGTCTCCAGCAGTTTGGGGACTACAATTCCCATCATCCTTGACCACTGGTCCTGGTAGCTAGGGATGATGGGAGTTGTAGTCCAACAACAGCTGGAAACCCAAGTCTGGGAAACTGGTATATGTTGTTGAGAGCTGGTGGGAGCTGGAGCCCAAGCACATCTGGAGGGGAACAGATGGTCCACATCCCTGCACTAGAAGAATCCAGCAAGTGTTGCTTTTCATTCAGAGGCCACTTGAAGCCAGAGCAGAGTCGTGCAGGGAGGCAACAGATATTCTTCTCTGTTTGCTGATATCTTGGGATCCCAGGAATTTGTTTTTCATTGGAATTATTGGTCCAAGTCATTAAGCCTGCAGAGTATTCTCCCTCATACCTGTCAGGAGCCAGCTGGCAATAAATCCCACCATGCAAGTCTGAGTGAACCCTTTATTACCATGAACACAATCAGCACAGACTTGGCGGAGTGTGAGGCCTAATGAGCACAGCAGCTTATTCCATGGGTCAGTTGCCGAGACTGAGGGTCCTGCCTCCTCTACAAGGGTTTGAGACCCATCGGCTCCCCTCACCTGCTTTAGCCGGACAGTCGAAGCCGGTCCCAGGATTGTGGCCACTGTCGCCTGCTGAATGCTTCCGGGAGCCGCAGATAAGAGCGGAGTGCAGGGTGGGGACCAAAGGTGGACGCACGACCCCAGAAGGAGCACGACATGTCTCCCCCCCCCCCCTGAGACTGTCGCTCCCCTAAAACGCCACAGGTGACTGGCACCTACAGACATGACTAGAGCAACACCAAGTATATTCCATCATCTCCCCTCAAAAAGGAAAAAGCCCTCCCTGCCTGCCTCCTCCCAGTACATTTGTCCCTTGGCACCGGGATATTTCCAGGGGAATTGAAGGAGGCAGTGGTGCGCCTGCTCTTAAAGAAAACATCATTAGATCCCTTAGATCTATCCAATTACCGCCCGGTTTCGAATCTTCCATTCCTGGGTAAGGTGACTGAGAGAGCGGTTGCTGAACAGCTTGGTAGGTTTCTGGATGAAACATCGGCTCTGGATCCATTCCAGTCCGGCTTCCGCGCTGGTCATGGGACCGAGACGGCTCTGGTCGCCCTAACAGATGATCTCCGCAGGCAGCTGGATCGAGGCGGGTCGGGGCTGCTGATTCTTCTAGACCTGTCAGCAGCCTTCAACATGGTCGATCACGAACTCCTGGACCACCGCCTTGCCGACATGGGGATCTAGGGCACAGTCCTTCAATGGCTGCGCTCGTTTCTCTCTGGTCGGAGACAGAGGGTGGCGCTTGGGGGGGAATTGTCATCGCGCCACTCCTTGGTGTGTGGAGTGCCTCAGGGTGCGATACTCTCCCCGATGCTTTTTAACATCTTTATGCGCCCTCGCCCAGCTTGTCCGGAGTTTTGGGCTGGGTTGCCATCAGTATGCCGATGACACCCAACTCTATCTGTTGATGGATGGCCATCCTGACTCGGCCCCAGACACACTGACCAGATGTTTGGAAGCTGTGGCTGGATGGTTACGTGGAAGCCGGTTGAAGTTAAATCCTTTGAAGACAGAGGTCCTCTGGCTGGGACGGGACGATATGGGATTGGGGGGGCAACTCCCATCTCTTGCCAGCACCGTCCGTTAAGAGTTTGGGTGTAATCTTTGATACCTCCCTCTCTATGGAGGCGCAGATTACAGCTATAACAAAGGCGGCATTTTTCCATCTCCGCCAAGCTAAGCAGTTGGCCCCTTATCTCTCTAGCCCTGACCTAGCCACTGTGATCCACGCGATGGTCACCTCCAGACTGGATTATTGTAACTCGCTCTACGTGGGGCTGCCCTTGAGACTGACCCAGAAACTCCAGCGGGTGCAGAATGCCGCGGCGAGACTCCTTACGGGGTCTTCGCTGCGAGATCACATTCATCCGGTGCTATACCAGCTGCACTGGCTCCCGGTGGAGTACAGGATCAGGTTTAAGGTGCTGGTTTTAACCTTTAAAGCCCTATACGGCCTAGGACCCTCGTACCTACGGGACCGCCTCTCCTGGTATGCCCCACAGAGGAACCTACGGTCTGCAAATAAAAACATCCTGAAGGTCCCAGGCCTCAGAGAGGTTAGGCTGGCCTCAACTAGAGCCAGGGCTTTTTTGGCTGTGGCCCCGATCTGGTGGAACGCTCTGTCACAAGAGACTAGGGCCCTGCGGGACCTGACATCTTTCCGCAAGGCCTGCAAGACAGAGTTGTTCCACCAGGCCTTTGGCCAGGGCACAGCCTGACTCCCTCCTCTGGCAACCTGCACAGAACTTTGCTTAACGGTTGCCATTAATTTGATTTTAATTAATTTTTATAATGAAATGTTTTAGAATGTTGGATTATTTGATTGTTGTTAGCCGCCCTGAGCCTGACTTTGGCTGGGGAGGGCGGGATATAAATTAAATTTATTATTATTATTATTATTATTATTATTACAGTCATTTGGGATGAATATTTTCGGGTTGCTCTCCGCGGTGACCCAGAAGTAACGGAGCACGTCAATTGCGCATGCGCAGACGCTCAAAATGAAGCGCCGAATCGCGACACACGCAGACGCACAGACCCGGGTTGCGTTGGCTTCTGGATGCGTACGGGGCTCCGGAACGGTCCCCCTCTACAAGGTTTCATCAGTTTAATCCAAATAAATCATGCACCACCCTTGAGCAATGCCATCCGGGCAATTCTAAAACACGGCTTCCAAAATCAATTTGAGAAAGTAAAAATATTTAACATACGAAAGCAATACCTGCGACAGCCAGAAAAAGCCTAGGGCTGGGAAGCTCTTCTTTTCGGGGGTTGCCAACTTACCAGCCTCTTCCTCGCACTCCGCCTGGCACATGCGCACCAGGCCCTAGGGCTGGGAAGCTCTTCTTTTCGGGGGTTGCCAACTTACCAGCCTCTTCTTCGCACTCCGCCTGGCGCATGCGCACCCGGCCCTAGGGCTGTGACGCTCTTCATTCCGGGGGTTGCCAACTTACCAGCCTCTTCCTCGCACTCCGCCTGGCGCATGCGCACCAGGCCCTAGGGCTGGGAAGCTCTTCTTTTCGGGGGTTGCCAACTTACCAGCCTCTTCCTCGCACTCCGCCTGGCGCATGCGCACAAGGTCCTAGGGCTGAGAAGCTCTTCTTTTCGGGGGTTGCCAACTTACCAGCCTCTTCCTGGCACTCCGCCTGGCGCATGCGCACAAGGCCCTAGGGCTGGGAAGCTCTTCTTTTCGGGGGTTGCCAACTTACCAGCCTCTTCCTCGCACTCCACCTGGCGCATGCGCACCAGGCCCTAGGGCTGGGAAGCTCTTCTTTTCGGGGGTTGCCAACTTACCAGCCTCTTCCTCGCACCAGGCCCAGTTTCCTCTCCCGGCTTCTCTGCGCACGCGCCCAGCCTTCCGGCGCTCTCTTCCCGGCAAAAGGCGTCGCCAAGGCCGGGGGCGCGAAGCAGATGGAAGGAGGCCTCCCGCCTGGGTCGAGGGGGACGAGCGGCCTCTGCGGCGGATTAGAGGCGAAGGAGGCCATTCCGGACGGGAGGCTGAGCGAGCTCGGGTTGCCTCACGGCCAGCGCAGGCGCAGTACACTAGCCGTTAAGCTCGCCGTGAAGGGGCGGGCCGGTCGCGCTCTGCGCACGCGCTGCCTGGGCTTTCGCGGACGGCAGCCGCCTGGAGACAAACTTGCGGCGCGCCAGCCGCGCGAACGACCCTCGCTGCCGATGCGGAGTCTTTGACGGGACGGCGAGCGCCGAGGGACACACCAGGTGAAGTGATGCAATAAGAGAAGCTTGCGGGGTGGGGGGGGAAGGTTGCGCTCTGCCCATGCTCAGAGTCCCGGTGTCCCCCACCCACCCCAGTCCGGGGCGGAAGCCGTTGGTGGTGGGTGTCAGGAGGAGGGTGGGCTCGCCGGCACTCTGTGGATGCTCAGAGGCACAGCTGCCTCTCCGGCTGCGTCTTCGGGGCTGGAGGAGGAGGGGTCGTGAGGACTCGAGACTGCTTTTCATGCTGTGCTTCGGGGGTCGTAACCAAATAACGATAATAATGATAATAGATCATAATATTTGAGCCCTTGGAGGCCTCTCAGCTCCAGGGGTTTGGGGAAGCAGCTGGTTATCTCACCACCTTTGAGCCCAGCTTTCAGTCCAGCTTCTAAGACTGGGTGCCTGCTGCCAGTCACGGTAGACTGGCGTTTATAATAAACTAAAAGGAGGCATTCTGATCAATCCTTCTGTATGTTTTCCACCCCCCTCTACTCCCCTGCACCAGTGCTGAGCCCTGACCTTGACTTTGTAAAAATAATTTATTTAATCATTTTCGTATTTTTTATACTGCTGTTCATTGCAAATCTTCCAGAGACCAACAAATCTTTAAAAATAAAATTAATGCCAAATAATCCAAATATCATAAAACAATGAACAAAAGGCAACATGGCCTAGCAGGCTACATTTTAAAATGCCATTCAAAAGCTATGGGAGCACATACAGTATGATAAAACCTTCTATTAGCAGCAAGGGGGAAACAGATCAGCTTTTCAAAAGGTCTGAAAAACCTCAGGCTGCAGATCTTCTGAAAAGGAAATTCATAGGGGATATTCAGGCAGGATGCAGCATTTGGAAAGGGAGCATTTTATTTTTCAGATCTGTGGTGCTGATTATCCTTCCCACCTTCTGCATGAAAGAATGTCTTGTTCATGCACAATCAAAACTGATTACTCAGCAGAAAAGACCCCCCTGCGTTCCATTGGACACTCTTCCAAGCAGTGGTAGACACTCAGACATATAAGCTAACCACCAAATCGCACCTTAAACCGAGGTTACAGTCACCAGAAAGACCAGGTTTGAAATCTGCACTTGGCCACGAAGCTCACGGAATTACCTTGGGCCAGTCTTTCTCTCAGCCTAACCTACCTGGTAGGGCTGATGTGATGATAAAAAAGGAAGGGGCAGGGAGACGTTTGTATGTCACAGTGAGCTCTTTGGGTTAAAAATTGGGATATAAATCTATTTTTAAAATAAACAGAATGTCTAGTTGCCATTTTGGGGCAAGACGGCTCTAAAGTCTTACTTTATGCATTGACTGTGATTGATTTTCAGTTAAACATCTGGCTAGTTCAGAGGACAACCTTGAGCGAGGTTAAGAGCTTTGAAAACTTAAAGAAGAAAAGTCCCCTGATCCAGGGACAGTCCACACATCTATTGGCCTGTTCCGACCTCTTTAAACTCTTTAGCGACTGCAGCCTTGGTTTAAGGACCCATTTGGCACCTAGCTTATATATCTGAGTTTCTAGCACTGACAGGGGCGTAAGTGACCGCCTTGTTCTGCAAGAGACCATTGGTCAGTCTAGCTCAGTATTGTATACGCTGACCAGCGGTGGCTCTCCAGAGTTTCAGCCAATATCTCTCACGGCCCACGGAGTGGTTATCGGGGACTGAAGCTGAGCTTGTCTGCAGGCAAATTGGGTGCTCTAAACCCTCAGCTACGCTCCTCCCTTTTCTTTGGGGATCCTATACAGTATCTTTCTTTTTTTAAAAGAAGACACACCACCATATGTAAACCGTTCTCTTGTGGACGCTCCTTCCTTGGAGGTTTGGAAGCAGAGGTTGGGCGGCCGGCCGTCTGTCATGGATGCTTGAGGAGAGATTCCTGCATTGCAGGGGGTTGGACTAGATGTCCCTCGGTGTACCTTCCAACTGTAAAACTCTTGTCCCGCAGGTCGTAATGGCGGCCAAGCGGATCACCCAGGAGACGTTTGACGATGTTGTGCAGGAGAACATCAGCGACCTCGGCATGGATCCGGAAGAGGCTGTGATCGAAGCCGTCCAGCAGTTTGAGTCTCAAGGTGTGGTTTTTGCAAAGAGATGTTTTTAACTGGCTGGGTAGACCTGAGATGGCACAGCCTTCTTCTATTCTATGAATCCCTACTGAGGACCCCTACTCATTGCCCCCACTGCTCCGTGTCTTTTCTCCAGGTGTTGACTTAAGCAACATAGTGAAGACAGCCCCCAATTCCGCCTCTGTGGATGGGCAAGAGCCACAGCATGCTGTTTTGCAGGTGAGAAGGGTGCCTGGGGCCGCCCAAGAAAGGATGAAAGCCCCAGGGGTTCCTTTGGGAAGGGGCCGTGGCCCAGTGGCACCACAAGGACCTCAGGCTGAATCCCGGGCATCCTGAAGTTGGGCTGGGAATGTTCCCTCTACAGTGGTACCTCTAGTGGCGGACGTAATCCATTTCGGGGTGCCGTTTGCACCCCAAAAAGTCCGCAACTAGAGCGCCTCTTCTGCGCATGCACGGGTGGCGAACCCGGAAATAAACACTTCTGGGTTTGCCACATTCGTAAGCTGAAAGTCCGTAACAAGAGCGGAACGCAACACGAGGTATGACTGTATTCCTATTTAAACCAGGGCTTTAATCAAAACCATGAGCACTAGAATCTTGGTTTATTTCTTAGAAAAGGAGCACAGCTCAGTGGGTGGGCAGCACCTGTTCTGTAATATTGAGCTCAATGGTCTGACTCGGTGTTAAGCAGATCCCTAGGGCCCTAAGCATCAGAAGGTCAAATATATAAGCTGGGCGTCAAACGGCTCCTTAAACCAGGGTTAGGTCGGCAGAGTAGAATGCCTACTTGCCATTTGGAGGCCAGACAGCTCGAAGGTCATATTTTTTAATAGGGCTTTTGGGTTCCTGAAATTCATTCTGATTGTGCCGATAAAATGGAGTTCTACAAGAAGGGGTATGTGTGTGTGAAAACAGCCCAAACCCAAGGACCCCCAGGCAGGCACCTCCAGGTGGTGGAGACGCCAGGCGCCTTCCTGGCACCCAGCCATCTTCACCTAGCCAGGTGCAAAATGGTATCGCAATGTTAAACACCAGCCCCGTCCTTATATCAGCCATTGTGATCTCCTGGTGTGTCGCAATGCGTAGCTGGCGATTTCCCGCGATGTTGAAAACCAGCTATTGCCCAGCCCTACTCGCTCCTTTCCTTCCGCAGACTCTGGACTCCTTGCAGAAGGCAGTTGCTGATGCCGACTCGGGCGCGGTGGACGAGCTGCTGGTGAGCTTTGCGGAGCAGTGCAGGCAGGAGATGGCCGTCCGCTACTTGGCGGGGCAGAAGGGCGCTTATCCTGCCGTGCTGGCCGCCTGCCGCCTGGCTTGTGAGGAAGGCTGCTCCCTCCTCAAAGCCCTCCGCGCCCTCTCCGCCCTCCTGGACGGCCAGCCCGACTTCCTCGATGCCCCCGGGCAGGAGCTGCTTCTGCGGGTCTTGCGGGAGCGGCAGGATGATGGCGACCTGACCCTGGCCACCATCCGCTGCGTCCGGCAGGCGTCCCTCAAGCACGAGCAGAACCGGCAGGACCTGGTGAAAGGCGGCGTCCTCTCCCTGCTGGTCGGGGCCGTTGTCCGCCATGGGGACCGGGCCGATGTGGTCCGGGAGGCCTGCGCGGGGCTGCGGTTCATGACCTTCGACGACGATATCCGGGTGCCCTTTGGCCACGCCCACGAGCACGCCAAGATGATCGTGACGGAGCACGGCGGACTGAGGGTCCTCATCGAAGCCGCCAAAGGTAGAGGCATTGCCCCTTCCTCCCCACCCATGGAATGCAAGGAGAGCCCTTCTGGGTCAGGCCAGAGGGAGGGGGGGAATTCGATTCTAGCGTTACCGGAGGCAAGACCTCCCTCTCTGTCTTTCCAACGCCAGTCAAAGACAACCAAGAAGTGGTTTGGGTGTTGTCGGTTTTTTGCCAAATCCTTTTTATTGATTTTCCAAATTCAATGCAATTTCCCCCAAAATAGGTTTCCCACACTCCACGCAAGGTTTCCTCTTGTTGCTGCTTTGTTTCCCGGGTTGTTCCCAATGCTCATTCCATTAAACTTACATGTTCTGAACCATCGGCTCTCTGCTTGCCAATTCCTGCACGTACGATATTTCAGCATTTGCAATATTGAGGATTGACTTCACGACAGAAGTACTGTTCTTGGGAGACAGGGGGTGGGCAGGTGTGGGGGACTCCCTGGTCCTGAATGGGGCAGCTGTGTTGGTGTTGACTCTGAAAGCCCTAAATGGCCTCGGCCCAGTATACCTGAAGGAGCGTCTCCACCCCCATTGTTCTGCTCAGACACTGAGATCTAGCGCTGAGATCGTCTGGCGGTTCCCTCACTGCGAGAAGCCAAGAACAGGGAACCAGGCAGAGGGCCTTCTCGGTAGTGGCACCTGCCCAGTTGAACGCCCTCCCATCAGATGTCAAGGAAATAAACAACTATCAGACGTTTAGATGACATCTGAAGGCAGCCCTGTTTAGGGAAGTTTTTAATGACTGCTGTTTGTTGTATTTTTAATCTTTGTTGGAAGCCGCCCAGAGTGGCTGGGCAAACCCAGACAGATGGGCAGGGTATAAATAATATATTCTTATTCTTATTCTTATTCTTATCTACAAGTGAGGTTACTCCACAAATCCTCAAATCCTCAATGAATCAATAATTGTCATTTTTCAAATTCCTTTTCTTTCTTTCTGCATGTATGAAGCCCAAAAGCTCACTTTTACTTTTCACAACCAGGTACGATTCACAAACCATCTCGCTTTCTCTTCCTCCTCCTCTCAGCCTTCCCCGACGACTGCAGCGTCCTGAGGGAGATCTGTGCCACTCTGGGGCGCCTCTCTGTCCGGAATGAGTTCTGCCAGGAGATTGTGGACCTGGGCGGTTTAAACTTCATGGTGGCGCTGCTGGCCGACTGCATTGACCACCAGGTACTACAAATGTAGGTAGCTGCCATGTCAGATCACTGTGTCTGTCCAACCCAGTAGTGCCTACTCTGATTGGCAGTGGCACTCCAGGCAGGGCTGGCCTGATCCATGGATACACCATGGATCGAAATAAATCAGGATTTCGGTCCTCATTATTCTGAAGGAAGGACTGATGGACTAAAAATCTAAGCAGCATCTTCATATTGCACTGCGCCAGCAATCCATCTAGCTCAGTATTACCGACACTGGCTGGCAGCCGTTCCCCAGGAGTTCCAGGGGACATTCCAGAAATGCCAGGGATTAAACTCATTTTCATGCATTTCTTTAAAGTTTTTCTTGGTCTGTGTTTTGTTTGAAAGGAAGTCTGAGACCAAACTCCTCCTGGAAAAGTTGATTCCAGTGGGATCAGGGACTTTTGAGAGTTTTCTCACCAATGCTCCAAAACTCCCCCCCCCTTTTTGGGTAAAAACAGCTAAAAGCAAAGGGATTTTCAGATACATAAAAGCCAAAAGCGTTAGGGAGGCTGTCCCAACTGCAGCGCAGACGACCATTTTAATTTCCGTGGGCTTGCGTTGGGTAATATTAATAATGAAAAGAACAGGGGGGAAAGCCTTTTAAACTTTGCATGGGGGAGTTTTTGTTTGTTATTATAGTATTTCTTGTGTTCTTATATTGCAAACTGCCCTGTGATCTTCAGATGGAGGGCGGTATAGAAATCTTCATCATCATCTTGGAAAGGAGTCGAAATAATAATAATAAATAAAGTTTGTTCTGGGTATAAGCTTTTGTGTGCATGCACACTTCTCCTAAGGTGGTTTCTAAGGTGTTGCTGGACAATTTTTTATTCCGACTGCATCAGACCACCTACCTGACTCTAGACTCCTGGGAAGCAGATGCTCTGCCTTGGAGCTACAGCCGCTCCCCTAAAAAAAAAAGAATAGTATTTGTTTTTCCAGTATCTTAGTATTTGCTTCTCCACCCCAGATCCAAACTTTAGCTGACTTGGTGGGCTGGCTGTCTGTCCTGGATGCTGGAGCCGGGATTCCTGCATTGCAGCGGGTGGGACTAGAGGACCCCCAGGGTCCCTTCCAACTCTGCGACCGTGTGGCTTTCTTTTCAAACCTGTTCTCACGCCTTGGGTCTTTGCCCTTCCGCTGCGGATTGTAGGACCTGGTGAAGCAGGTGATGAGCGCCATCCAGGCGATCGCGGGCAACGACGACGTGAAGGACGCCATCGTCAATGCCGGAGGGACAGACCTCATCGTGCTGGCCATGACTCGGCACCTCGGCAGCCCTTTGGTGAGTGGGTGTCGGTAGAGGAAGCTTCCATTTATTGGCTGGTCTGTTGCATTTATCCCGCCTCTTCCTCCAAGCAGCTTAAAGCAGCGTTAGGTCGTTCACCTCTACAGGTGTAACCCTCACGACCACGATGTGAGGGGGTTAGACTGAGAGGCCCCAACCAGCCCATCACCTTGTCATGGGGAGTGGGCTTGCACGTTCCTATGACCCTTGTGAGCGCAGCCGTCGGGAGTCTCGTACTCCCAGCAGGGTCACCCAAGGCAGTAAGGTCAAAGGGGAAGAGCTAGACAAAGCACGATCCCAGAAGTCCTCAACGGCATAACAGGCGGAAGATAACAAGCGGTGAAGGCAGAGGAAGAATCTACCGGTCATCGTGATCCTCATGCCATTGGAATAGAGCCTTGCTGTGCAGACTGTGCGTTGGTCAGCATGCCCTGATCTACACGCATAAAACAAATTCACACACAGGCGTCTTCCAAAAACCCATCCTGAACTCAAACCCTAAAGGCCCATGGGGATCGGCAAATGGTAACGGGGGCAGGACCGTGAAATCTGGAAGCCCCTAGTCAAGAACCGGCACATAGGCAGATACAGATTCACTCGCTCTGACTCAAGGAACGAGGCAGTTGAGTAGCTTGGCAGCTGTATCCATGACTGAGCAGCCCTATTTAGGATCCACCCTGCTCACCCCGAAAAGGGGGAGGGGCTAGAAAAGGTGCCCTAAACATAGTCTGCCTGCCTTTTTCCCTGACTGGATTACCGTGCCCTTTGAGGTCACCACCCAGCGGTCGTAAAAGACAATTGAACTTTGGAACCTGGACTATACAGACTTTGTTGGATAGCACAGACAATCAACGTCCCGAACGCAGAACTGCCATCATTGCAAGAGAGCTGTGATGTTTTAACTTCAATATTGCAGCGCTTCAAGGAACTCGAAGAGCAGGTGAGGGACAACTGAAGGAAGAAAGGGGAGGCTACATTTTCTTCTGGAAAGGTCTGTCAGAACAAGAACATTGAATACACGGAGTAGGCTTTGCTATCAAAAACGATCTTGTGAAGCTCTTCTCAGAAGTCCCTTAATGAGCGACTTTCAACCCTTCAACTAAAACTCACCCAAAACCATCAGGCTCCTATTCTAAGCGCTTATGCACCAACACTGATTGCTGATGAAGATATTAAATAAAAATTTTACTCTCAGCTGAATATCCTCCTGGGTAATTTTAATGCAAGAGTTGGGCAAGATTTTGATCTGTGGCCTGGGACTATTGGGAAAGAAGGAATAGGCAACAGCAACCAGAACAGAATCTGACTTTTGACGATATGTGCAGCGCACAACCTTGGTATTACCAACACACTCTTGACAAAAAAATAAGTTTAAAACATCTCGGAATCACCCTCGGTCAAACCACTGGCACTGCTTAGACTATGTAACCGTCCGAGCTGAAGATTGCTGTGATTCGCTCCTTACCAGAGCTACGGTGAGTGCTGACGACTGCTGGACAGATCACCAATTAATACGCTCCACAATGGCTCTCAAGACTATACCTCAACGCAGGCTTCAAGGAAGGGAACCAAGGAGCACAATGAACACTCAAGCCCTTCAAGATCCCATTAAGCAGGATTGCTTCCAAACGACTCTTAGGACCATCTGCTTCTAGATTTCCCTGATAATATTGAGGAACACCAGACCAAGCTAAAAACATCTATTACTGCAGCCTGCGAACAAACTATTGGATACCAAACCAAGAAACAGCAGGACTGGTTTGATGAGAATGACAGTGAGATTGAACACATTATTGACAAGAAAAGGAAGGCCTTTCAGATCTGGCAAAGGGATAAAAACTGTGACACTAAGAAAAAACAACCCTATGCCAACGCTAAGGCTGAGGTTCAAAGAAAAACCAGAGAACTAAAGAACACCTGGTGAAAAAAGCTCAAGAGATCCAGCACTTAGCTGACACTCGTGATGCACAAAGCCACAAAGACCATCTATGGGCCAATAAATCATGGCATCTGCCCCTACACTTAACAGACTTCTAAAAGATAAAGAAGCTATTGCACTGCGCTAGAAAAAACATTACCAGCATCTCCTTAACCGCAACTCCCCCGTTAGAGATGAGCTTGCAGTATCTCCAAATCTGGGAGAGTTGTGTACAGCTATTAACCAAATGAAAAACAACAAAGCCAGTGGGTCTGATGGAATACCTGCCAAAGTCTTCAAAGTTGGCGGAATTGGACTTGCACAACAACTTCACAAACTCATTGAAAAATCACATCACTTGGGAAGACAGGCAAACTAATATCAGTGTACTGGAAGAAGCAAAGTTCACCAGTCTTGAAGCAATGGTTCTTCAACATCAACTTCGTTGGACTGGTCACGTTGTGCGGATGCCTGATTATCATTCTCGAAAGAAACTACTCTATTCTGAACTTTAAAAAATTGAAAGCGTAATGCTGGTGGTCAACAAAAGAGGTTTAAAGACTCTCTCAAGGCAAATCTTTTAAAATGTAGTATAAACACAGACAACTGGGAAACACTGGCCTGCGAGCGCTCCAGTTGGAGAACAGCCTTTACCAAAGGTGTCCTGGGCTTTGAAGACGCTTGAACTCAGGACAAAAGGGAGAAACATGCTAAGAGGAAGGCACGCTTGACAAACCCTCACCATGATCAACTCCTGCCCGGAAACCTACAGAATGTCCCCACTGTGGAAGAACGTGTGGATCCATAATTGGCCTCCACAGTAACTTACAAACTCACATTTAACCCAGAGGTTTTCAACATTTTTGAGTCCACGACTCCCTTGACCAACTACATTCTTTCTGCGGCACCCCTGTGGGGCTCACTCCTTTCCTGGTGAACCAGCAGCCCCTCATCCCTTTTTGAGCACTTTCCCTAGTTGTGTGTTCCCTCAGCCTCCTCCCCACCCTCTTCTTGGGAGTCCTCTAGGCAGCCACTGCTGACACCCCTGGTCTCTGAGCTGCCCCCCGCTGCCCCAAAGAGAGATGCCTCCCAGAGGCCCCTTTCCCCTGGGAAGCCTATAGCCGGGCTGCTGCAACAAACAGCTGTGCAAGCCTTTGGGAGGCAGAGGTGCAAGAGGGCATCAGAGGAGGGAGGGAAGGAAAGAAGGACAGAGGCCAGTGCTGCCCGCTGCACCCCTGATCATCATTCAAGGCACCCCAGGGTGCCACAGCACACTGGTTGAAAACCACTGCTTTAACCACTACACCACATTGGCTCTCCTTGGTTGCTCCCAGTTCCTTTGCTGTTCTTGAACACCCTCCCTCATCTTTTGCCCCTTCCCCTGGATCAGCCCCCTCCAGAAGCAAGAGGGTGTGTGCATGCTCTGCCCTGTTCCAGGGGATCATAGAATTGTAGAGTTGGAAGGGGCGGCATGCAAATTGAATAAACAAATAATTGTTACACTATATTAAAAGCACTTGAAAAGAACTTAAACTTGCAGAAATAATATTACTGTACGATACAATGCAAGAGTGGCGTCAAGCTTGCTGTATAATAAAAATGCAAGTGTGTCGGCAGTCGGTTGAACATGGCTGCCTGCGTTTCCGCCCTCAGGTGTGTGAGCAGAGTTGTGCGGCCTTGTGCATGCTGGCGCTGCGGAAGCCCGAGAACTGCCGGGTCATCATGGAAGGGGGCGGGGCCTTGGCAGCGCTGCAGGCCATGAAGATGCACCCCAAGGAAGCTGGCGTGCAGGTAACAATCTTGCGCTGTAAGAGACAGGAGTCACTCTTTCACCCACCCTCTGCCCTGGCGTAACCACAATTACCTCTGAAGGTATCAAGCCTGCTTTCCCACAAGGGTATAAGATGGGCTGCGTCTGGTGTTGGAACTACTGTTTCTGGGGGACAGGGGGCAGGCAGGTGTGGGGGACTCCCTGGTCCTGAATGGGGTAACTGCCCCCGAAGGACCAGTTGCACAGCCTGGGAGTCATTTTGGACTCACAGCTGTCCATGGAGGCGCAGGTCAGTTCTGTGTCCAGGACAGCTGTCTCCCAGCTCCATCTGGTAGGCAGGCTGAGACCCTCCCTGCCCGCAGACTGTCTTGCCAGAGTGGTGCATGCTCCGTTTATTTCCTGCTTGGACTACTGCAATGCGCTCTATGTGGGGTGGGGCTACCTTTGAAGGTGACCCGGAAACTACAACTAATCCAGAATGTGGCAGCTAGACTGGTGACTGGGAGCGGCCGCAGGGACCACATAACACCAGTCTTGAAAGACCTATATTGGCTCCCAGTACGTTTCCGAGCACAATTCAAAGCGTTGATGCTGACCTTGAAAGCCCTAAACGGCCTCAGCACAGGGAACCAGGCAAAGGGCCTTCTTGGTGGTGGCACCCTCCCTGTGGAACACCCTCCCATCAGACGTCAAGGAGATAAACAACTACCTGACTTAGGCAGCCCTGTACTGGGAAGCTTTTTATCTTTGATGTTCTATTTTGTTTTGATGTGTGTTGGAAGCCACCTAAAGCGACTGGGGAAACCCAGCCAGAGAGGCGGGCATAAATAACAAAATTGTTACTATTAGTAGTATTAGTCCTACTCTGAAGGCCCACTGAAATTAACAGAAACATCTTAACACCATACTGGAAAACCACACAATGAATCCCTAGAGTGCAATATTATATCCCTTTTTTAACATACTGTTGATTTTACTGGTTTTACGAACATTATAATTTTGTAAATAATGTACATTTTAATTAAGTGTAAACCACTTAGGAAGTGTATCAATGTTGCTTAAGGTGCCATATATTTTGGAGAGCTGTTTCTCTCCTCGCCCCTTACATTTGGGCATCTCTTAAGGTACCATAGGCAACGTCTGCATGATGGTTTCTGAGATCAAGGAGCAGTTTTCTGCCTGCGTAGGGTAACAAGTTTTGACTCAAGGTGGCGAGCAGAACCTTTCAAAATGGTGCTGATTTTATTCAAAAATTGCATAGTGGTCCTTGAGATCAAGGCGCAGGTTTCGGCCTACGTTCGGATACAACATTTTGAATCAAAACGGCACTGATATTTTTGTTGTTGCTTCTCAGAGTTCCCAGGCGACGCTGGGCGCTTTCTTCTGCTAACGAAGTGAATCGTTTGCCATTTTTCTCTTTCTCCGTCCAGAAACAAGCCTGCATGCTGATCCGCAACCTCGTCTCCCACGCTCAGGATTTCTCCCAGCTCATTCTGGACATGGGTGCTGAGGACTTGATCGCCGAGGCCCGGGCCGCCCACCGGACGTGCGAGGACGTGGCCAAGGCCGCCTTGAGGGACCTGGGCTGCCAGGTGGAGCTGAGGGAGCTCTGGACGGGCCAGAAGGGCAGCCTGGCGCGCTGACACCCGGAGACGCCGGGAAACGGGGGGTTGGAAGCGGTGGGGATGAGCGGAGAGCAAGATGGACTTGCAGACGGGAATAAACGCAGCCCAAGGGAGAAGGAGGGTGTTGGCCTTGGGGGCCATTAGCTGCACAGGCCCCGGAAATTCACCGGAGCGCCGCCATTTAGTTTTCTGCGCCAATTCTTCTGTGCAGTGTATGTTGTTATTTTAAAGATCTGCAGCTTCAAGAGCTTGACTGGCCGACCCTAGAAAATGGAGTGGCGCCTGCGGAGAAAGCTTCCCTTTCTATAAAAGTGGCCAAGAGCAAAAAGCAGCAACAATGGTGGGTGGGGGAGAAGGCTGGCAGGCCGCTTGTTCCATTTACAGCTGTATTTTGGCCCTACCCTGGCTCTCCATATGGCCTGGCAGGCTTCTCCACCTTCAATTAGGCAACCACTGCTCCCTGCTGTCCTCCATTCTTCTTCCAGATGTGCCATCCTCTTTCCCCTGGCCGTTCTTTTTCCTCTTGTGTCATCATGCTGCTGGTTTAAAGCAATCATGTGCCTGTCTCATTATTGTTCTCTACGGTTCTCCTCTTTGGTCTCATGATAGTTACAAGAAAGGAGATTCCAACTAAACATTAGGAGTAACTTTCTGTTGTTGGCAAGATCCGTTCGACAGTGGAATGGTCTCCTTTGGGAGGTTGCAGACTCTCCTTCCTTGGAGGTTTGGAAGCAGAGCTTGGAATGCCATCAGCTGAGATTCCGGCATTGCAGAAAGTTGGACTAGAGGACCGGGGAATCTCTTCCAACTCAACCATTCTCATTCTAGTTGGATAAAAGTTGGCTCTCTCACATCCTCCGTTTCTTTCTTTTTTTAAAGTCAAGTTTTCAGCCCTTATGAGTGTTAAGAGATGCTTGGGAGAATCTCTCAGAAGCTGGAGCAGATTGCTGGCCTTTGGTCTCAAAGCATGTTTCCAAGAACTAATTTATGCAACAGACCCTCCACGTATCCCTTTTTTCCAGGGACAGTCCCAGATTTACAGAAGCCGTCCCGGTTTCTGATTGATCCCAGAATGTCCTTCTTTTCCTTAGGACAGGGGTCAGCAACCTTTTTCAGCAGGGGGCCGGTCCACTGTCCCTCAGACCTTGTGGGGGGCCGGACTATATTTTGGAAGAAAAAAAATGAACGAATTCCTATGCCCCACAAATAATCCAGAGATGCATTTTAAATAAAAGGGCACATTCTACTCATGTGAAAACACGCTGGTTCCCGGACCATCCGCGGGCCGGATTTAGAAGGCGATTGGGCCGGATCCGGCCCCCGGGCCTTAGCTTGCCTACCCATGCCTTAGGATGGATGTCCTTATTTTCATGAGAGAAATGTTGGAGGGTATGATGTAAGTAGGGAGCAGCGTGAAGGAATGAGCATAGAAGATGCTAGTCGAAGGCTTCAGTTTTTCTTTCTGAAGAAGCTTGTTTGGCTGAGACAGGGAGGAGCTCTCTAGATGTCACCGGACTCCAGCTTCCCTCAGCCCAGCCGGCATTGCAGACAGTCGGGAGTGATGGGAGACGGAATCCAGCAACACCCAGACTCTGCAGGTTTTCCTTCCCTGGTCCTAAGAGGAGACATTCCCTGCTGGCTGCACGAGGAAGGAAAATGCCTCTAGTCAGAAGAGGGATGCTCTTCCAAGAGCAGGGAATGAATGCCTCTTAGAGCTGGGAGGGGGAACCTCCGGAGACAATGGAGTGCGCCTCCAGGGGTGAATGGCTGTGTTGGCAGGACGGAGGTGACCTGGAGGTCCTGGGCTGCCCAGGTGACAAGCCCCCCTCTCGGCCTCACTGAGGGGGTCCAAAGGAAAGCAGAGGAAGACGATTGGCACCAGCTTGACTGCAGGAGTTGCCAGGAGGAGGCGGACAAGGCGCCACCCAACCGCCTTAGGGACTCCACTCTGGTTTTGCGTAGGGCTTACTCCTGAGCCTTCTCTCTCTCAGAGATGTCCCACAAGGCAGAGTTTTCTTCTAGACAGGCTCCTTCCCAAGTGGACGAGCCCCACCTGGCCATCACTTTCCTCTATAGCACATGCAGAAAGCGCCTTCTTGACCACTGAACTCCCTCTTGGTCTCGTCCACTCCCTCCATCGGAGCCTGGCTTCGCATGCAGGGGAAGCCCCTGACTCACGGAGGGTTTGAGACCCATCGGCTCCCCTCACCCAATTTAGCCAGCCAATCAAAGCTGCTCCCAGGATTGTGGCCGCTGTCGCCTGCTGACGGCGTCTGGAAGCCACAGGTGAGAGTTGGGTGTGGGTGGAGTCCAAAGGTGGACAAACTACCCAGAAGGAGCACAACATGACCCCCCACAGAGGTACCACCCCTCCCCAACCACCCCATCATTATCTGAAGGGTTGCAGGCACCCCACCCATTGGGCTATGTAAAGCTGTCGTGTGAGCGTGCACACACACACAACCTAAAATCCTTGTTTTGTCTAGCTTTGTAGTTGCTGTCAAAAGCTGCCTTGGGTTTTGGCTACGGCTCTTTCCTCCGTCTCCCCTGGAGATTGAACTGGTGGCCTTCTGCGTACATAGCAAATGTTCCACTACTGAGCTAGGTCTCGCTTACGGAGAGCCAAAAGTTGCTTCCCAGAAGCTTCCAGGTTCATCCCAACTGGCTGCGAGGTGACACTCCCCCTGAAAGGGTTGTTCACTCAATAGTAGCACTATGTACACAACGGCCTAAGTAGATCCCTGATGGATCAGGACAAGCAAACATTGGCCCAGCATCCTGGCCTTGCCTTACAAATCGACAAGGCTCTCCACCTGCGATCCCAGCAACGGGTATTTAGGAGCTTGCTGCCTTCAGCAGTGGAGGAGGGAGAGCAAGGGTGCGTTTCAGCCTTGAAGGGAGAGATGCCAGGAGGCAGAGATGAGTCAGGCTGGTGAAGGAGCCAGGATGTCTCCCCTCTCCCCTGGTCTCCCAGCACTAGAAGAGGTATGAAGAGGGAGAGGCAGAGGCACTGGCAGAGTCTCAGGTTGCTTGGAAAGGCCCCATGGGAGAAGGAGACAGGCAGCTGGGGGAAGTGGCTGGGGGAAGTCTCCACAACTGCCTCCTTGGGGCAAGATCGGCCGGGAAGAATTGTGCTCATTGGGCCTGGCACCCTTGAGGAAGCCGTTTCTTCTAATAAACAGTTCACTTACTCCGCGTGGTTTATTGCTGGCTGGCTCCTTGAGCACACACCCTCCTCCCGTGCCGTGAAAATCCTAAACTGCTCCCCATAGCACCTCCCCAAAGGGGGGGAGGCCAAGTCTGTACAGTGGAAGAGGCATAGTATAAAAAGGGTTACAATCGCAGGGTCATCCCAGCCAGTGCTCCAACCACCCGTGGTGCCCATGTGGCGATGTGAAACGACTCTCATGTTTTAGTTCTGTGTTGTGAGCCAAGAAGATAGCGGGAATTTTAATGGAAATGGTTGGCTTCTGCAAAATACCCTGCAACACACCCCAACCGGACCTCCAACGTCTGAGTCACATCGACTGGGGGTGGATGCGACCGCGGTACTGGGCAATCCACCGCCCCAGCCGCCTGGCCAGCGGCCTCCCCACTTGCGCCCCACTGCTGGTACTGGGTTGTGGTGGAGGCTGCGGCGACGGCGCTTTCCTGAAGATCTTCCGGACCCAGGAGACCAGGAATTGGAGGCTGAGGCGTGAGGGGGTCGTGCGGGGCTCTGAGGGGGTGTGGTGACTCTCCTTGACTGAGGGGCGACTCCCAGCAGAAGGGCACTGCTGGGGACTTGTTCTTCCTCCTTCCGTCTCTAGCCTGAGCTGCGAGAAAAGCAAACAAGTTACCTCCAGCCCAAGGGATTCTGGGAAACTGGTTATTATTCAGATGGTCCTGGGTAGGGTAACTGTGCCCCCAAAGGAGCAGGTGCACAGCCTGGGGGTCCTTTTGGACTCTCAGCTGTCCATGGAGGCGCAGGTCAATTCTGTGTCCAGGGCTACTAGCTCCATCTGAGACCCTCCCTGCCTGCTCCCTGTCTCGCCAGAGCAGTCCATGCCCTGGTTATTTCCCGCTTGGACTACTGCAATGGAAGGTGACTTGGAAACAACTAACCTTGAATGCGGCAACTAGACTAGGGACTGGGACCACATAACACCGGTCCTGAAAGACCTACGCTGGCTCCCAGTACATTTCCAAGCACAATTCAAGGGCCTGGTACTGACCTTTAAAGCCCTGAACGGCCTCGGCACTGTATACCTGAAGCAGCACCTCCCCATCGTTCAGCCCAGCCACTGAGGTCCGGCTCTGAGGGTCTTCTGCTGGTTCCCTCCCTGCGAGAAGTGAGGTTACAGGGAACCAGGCTCAGAGCCTTCTCGGAAGTGGCATCCAGTCCATCAGATGTCAAGGAAATAAACATCTACCTGACTTTCAGAAGATATCTGAAGGCAGTTTAATGTTTTACATTTTTTATGTTTTCATATGTGTTGGGAACCACCCACTCAGATGGGCGGCCTCAACATAATCAATTATTCCCATGCCTGGCTTGAGGTCAGGAGGGCCTATGGCTAGGCTGCCCACAGGCAGGGCTGGATGCTGAAGAACTGCAGAGGCTGTTCTCCACAAAGAATTGTGGAGGGTTGCAGGGGCTTCCCCTCCCTGTGCCAGCTGCGACCTCGCCAGCCAGCGCAGAGCAGTGGGCACCTTTCTGATTTTGAGAGAGCCAAGAGGGCTGGTGGGTGGCTCCAGCTGGGGAGCCCCTCCCTGAGGGAGACCCCAAGGAGGCAGGCCCAGAGCCAGGGGACTGGTGGTGGGACACCGAGGAGGAGAGGTCAGAGGAATGAGAGGAGGAGCCGGACGCTGACGGGGCAGCAGGGTTTAGGGAGCAGGGAGAGCCTGAGACAGGGAGCAATGCAGAAGAGTCTCTCTTTCCGGCTGCCCCAAGCTCCCCTGCCCTGGGTCTCTGAGGATGCACAGAGAAATGGAAAGGGATTGACTGTGCGCAGACAGTTTGAGATTGCTAGGGAAACGTCTGGGAGAGGAGAAGCCTTAGAGAGTTGGAAGGCAGGGACCTTCAGTCCTGGCAATGGCTCCATAGGGGCAAGACCTGCTGTTAAGGCTTGCTGAGACCACTAGGCCGAGTTGTCCGTTCATTTCCCTGAGTGAAGAGTCAGTTTCACTGACAACAGAGCCTTGCTCGCCTGCGCCTGACCCCAGGGCTCTGGAAGGAGCTGCAGGGAGAGGAGATCTCTGAGGATCCACACAGCTTAGGTGTGGCGAACTAACAGCTGCTCCCACAAGGCACCTGCACACCTGGGGGCAACCTTGGACCTCGTCCCCTGCAAAGCCACAAGCCCTGCTGCAGACTCTTCCAGCGCCCCTTTTTCCCAGGGAGAGACCCAGATTTACAGAAGCCGCCCCGGTTTTCTATGTGATCCTGGAATGTCCCGCTTTTCCTTAGGACGTCCTGTTTTCATCGGGGAAATTAAGGAGTTATGTGAGCCCCGAGCAAAGGAGATAAGTAACTTTACAACTTTTTGAGGACATCTGAAGGCAGCCCTGCAGAGGGACGTTTTTCAATGCTCTTTATATATGCTGGAAGCTGTCTAGAGTGGCTGGGGCAACCCAGTTAGATGTACAGGGTATAATAATAAAATTATTATTATTGAATAATACGTCCCTATTTCCATTGGATTAAATTGGGAGGGTATGCTTGCTGGGCCGCGCCCAGAATTTGAACTCACGTCGCGCCCACCTGCTCTGGGTTGGGGGGCAGGGAGCGCTGGTCTTGCAGCCGCGCCTTCAGCCCCCCTTCTGGGGCCTGCTCCTTCTCCGGGGCCCCTCGGTTTTTCCTCTTTTGAGGGCACTTCCTGCTCCCACTGGCCGCTGGCAGGGGCGATGGGGGGCTGTGGGGGGCTCCCTGCCCCTTGGTGGGGGGGATCTTCTTTCTGCCCGCTCGGGGGGCCCCACTCTCTCTGTCCCCGGGGGGCTGGTAGCGGGGGAACTCCTCGTAGGTCCGGTAGCAGGGGAAGTAGCCTGTGGAGGCGCAGGAGTCGCCCAGGAGCGTTTCCTCGTCATCGGCCAGGTAGTAAGCCTCGTGATCCGCTGTGGCCCTTGCAAGTTGGTCTGGCTTAGCATTGTCATCAGGAAGGACCTTGAATTTTTCAGAGAAGAAAGAAAACAAGGCTGCAGTCTAATGAAGTGAAACTGAGTCGTGCTGGAGTGTTAGATCTGTAGGATTGCAGGGTTGGTTTGGGAGAATTGAGACCCTCCAAGACTCCCTATTTTCCCAGGACACTCCCGGATTTACAGAAGCCGTCTCGGTTCCTGATTTGCTCCCAGAAGGGAATGCCCCGCTTTTCCTGAGGTTTCATGATTTTTGACCTGGCAATATATTGCAAATCATGAGCTGCGTGTTCGTGTGCTGTGCAAAAATCCCAACATGGGGAAAACCAGCCAAGGGCTCTACACAGCTTCAACTTTATTTCAGACATCGAGATATAGGGGGACATCGCAATGTTTAGCTGGTGATATATCACGAGGTTGAAAAGCGTATCTTGCCTGGATCCCTTGGAGATTGGGGCATGCGCACCTGTGTCTCTGCATTAATGGGTGGATGGGTGTAAGCCATCATTGCCAAGCAAGAAGTGAAATCATGCTCCCTTGTTTGACCTTGTAAGTAACAACCCTGTACTATCCTGGTTCTCAGCCCCCCTACTGTGGAGTGGTGGGTTGTGCTTCTATTCAAATTTCAGCCCTTATTCCTAAATCTATCCCTTTGGCCATCCAGATGTTGCAAAACTATAACTCCCAGCAAGCATGCAGTGACTATGGGAGTTGCAGTTCAGTCCAGCAACATCTGGAGGGCCACATCTTCAGCCCAGTCCCGTTCCATAGAAATTTGCGCACTCTTTTCTTGGGATTTGTCTTCAAGGGCCACCCAATCCAACTTAGGGCCACCCAATCCTGCCATCTCACCAGTTCTGGTGGCAGGCAGTTCCTAGGACTCAGTTACTACGTGCTTCTGACCTCTTTGACTCTGGGCTCCAGGGGGTCTTCTTTGTTGTTGTCAGGTGGGGGCCACAGCTGCTCTTGCAGTAACCCCTTTTCTTCCTTTTCTTGCAGCTGTGGGACAAATTCCAAACAAAAAAAGCAATATGAAGAAGTTTGAAGAACAGTGTTATAAGAATTCTGAGGTCTCAAATATAAAATACCTGTTCATAAATGCAAACACAAACGTAAGTATATAAACCACGTGTCTGAAATAGTAGAGGGGAGCAATCCTGAAACCATTTTGACTCTCTCAGGGACCTCAAATATTCCTCTGCAGTGAGGAAGGAAATGGGAAAGCCTCCCCGTTGTCTTTTTGCTCCCAAATCCTGTCTCAAGGGCATATTTGTGCATGAATAGGGTGAGCCTGTGATCTGGATTCAGGAACTGAGTATTTGCCATTACAAAAGAATGGCCAGGCTGCCCAGGCAATGCAATCAGGGACCATTAACAGGTATCCTGACAGACAGGATGTCTGCTGTAGACGCCTCCTTCTGTGATGTATGTCCTTGGGGGGGGGGTCTTGGGCTACAGGGTGGGCAATTTCAAAAGTCTACGTAAGGGTTTGCACACCAATGTTCTGGGTTCTCCTTCCTCCCTGTGTGGGGAGTGTGAGGACCTTGTTGCAACAGTTGTGGGGTTGATATGCCCCCTCCCCTTCTGCCAGTTGCCCCCTGGGCCGCTGCCACCTACCCATCGAAAATCCAGCAAATCTGTGCCCTGTGGTCTGGGGGTCTCCTTCCTGCCCTCGCCTTCTCCCTCCAGGGGGCTGCCCGGCTCTTCCTTGGGCTCTTCCTCCTTGCTAGCCGCTTTGTCACGAGGTTCTTGGCCCTCAGATGCCGACTGCTGGCAGAGACAGGACCCCCGAGGGGGTGGGGGACAGTGAAGAAAAAGACAGCAGCCCAGAACGAGAGAGGCAGGAACCCAGAAGCCAAACCCTCCTGCCCGCATTGATTCGCTTGCCAGGGAAGCCCTCCAGCCCTGGCGCCATGGGGGGCTGGTCCATCAGGACGAGTGGGGCAGCAAGCACAGCCTGCCCTCAGCAGCCCCCTGCCAGCCTGCCCCCTTGCTCGCGACCCGTCCAGAAGGTGGCCCTCCTCTCTCTGCCACGTACCTCTTTGATGTCTTCAGAGCCCCCCAGGGTTTCTAAGCTCAGGGGGCTCCTCCTGCACACATCCTCGGAATCCCCAATATCTGTTTCGGGGAACTGTGGAGGAAGAGGGAGAAGGATGAGGGGAGAGAAGGCGTGGCATCTGCCACACAAGCAGGTCTCTGCCCCAAGGAAGCTACAGTAGGAGGCTGACAAGAGGGAGAGTGTCAGCATGAGGAAGAGGCAGAGGCAAAAGCCTTTCCAGGAATGTAATCCTGGGGCTCTGGCTTGCATCTGACATCAGCCATGCTCAGAGTAGACCCATTGAAATGAATGAGAAGGAATAACTCTGGCCCATGACTCTGAATGGGTCTACGCTGGGTGGAAGCTAGTGGGATCGAAGCCACACGGAACAAGGGGGTTTCAAGAAAGAATGATTGTAGCAGAGGGAGAAAGAGAATGCTTATTATACATTTAGTAATTCATGTGTCATAAGCAGCTCATTCCCAAATAAAAAAACAAGTAACACAAACATTAAAATGCAAAAGATGAGCATTTTTTAAAACACATTAAAACATTTAAACTCAAGGCACCCATAATTGAAACAACAGAATAAAATAAGGATTCAAAACACCCTTAGCAACTTCCCATTAGCAATAGAGACTGGTCCCCTCACCAGTTTCCCAGCCATTAATCTTCAGGTTTTGCTCCGGCTTTCTCACTGTCCCCAGATTTTCCGATTCTGTCCCAGCCCAACCTAGCCACTCACAGGCTGCTGACCCGAGGCTGGGTGGGTGGGTGGCGCACTCAACTGCGCAGTGAGGCTGGGATTCTGAGCCAATGTCATAGACAGGTTCCGACCAGTCCACTTCCTCTAAGGGGGGGGGGACCTGTTTCCCCTTAGGGTGAGCGCTTAACACAGCACCCCAGAGAAAAAGAAGAAGAAAAGCGGGGAAATCTTTTAGTTCTGTAGCATGAAAGAATGAGTGCCAGGAGTTTTCTTTCCCCTGCCCTCCTCCATTCCAACCCCTTTTCCTTTTGTGGACTGTCTTATCACTGGTACTTATAGAATCATAGAGTTGGAAGGGACCCAAGGGTCATCTAGCCCAACCCCCTGCAATGAGGAATCTCAGCTAGTTCATTCATAACAGATGGCCATCCAACCTCTGCTTAAAAACCTCCAGGGAAGGAGAGGCCACCACCTTCCTCGCTAGTCCATTCTCCACTCTCGGACAGCTCTTTCTGTCAGAAGGTTCTTCCCGATGTTTGGTTGGAATCTCCTTTCTGGTAACTTGAAGTCATGGGTTCGAGTCATACTCTCCAGAACAGGAGAAAACAAGCTTGTTCCCTCTTCCATGTGGCGGCCCTCGAGATATTGGAAGATGGCTCTCCTGTTTGCTCTGTTTCTCCAGGCTAAACAAACCCAGCTCCCTCAACCATTCTTCATAAGGCTTGGTTTCCAGACCCCAGAATAGGGCTTGCTCTTGTAAGCCATTGGTATTAGTAGCAATAAAGGTAACACTAATCACAATAAGAAAGATAGTAACAGTAAGTTTAATGTTTAATGCTGTATTGTGTTTTTAATATTTGGTTGGAAGCCGCCCAGAGTGGCTGGGGAATTAATAAATTAATAATTTGTTGTTTAGTCGTTTAGTCGTGTCCGACTCTTCGTGACCCTCTGGACCAGATCACGCCAGGCACTCCTGTTTTCCACTGCCTCCCGCAGTTTGGTCAGACTCATGCTTGTCGCTTTGAGAACACTGTCCCAGCATCTCGTCCTCTGTCGTCCCCTTCTCCTTGTGCCCTCCATCTTTCCCAACATCAGGGTCTTTTCCAGGGAGTCTTCTCTTCTCATGAGGTGGCCAAAGTATTGGAGCTTCAGCTTCAGGATCTGTCCTTCCAGTGAGCACTCAGGGCTGATTTCCTTAAGAATGGATACGTTTGATCTTCTTGCAGTCCATGGGACTCTCAAGAGTCTCCTCCAGCACCAGAATTCAAAAGCATCAATTCTTCGGCGATCAGCCTTCTTGATGGTCCAGCTCTCACGTCCATACATCACTACTGGGAAAACCATGGCTTTAACTATACGGACCTTTGTTGGCAAGGTGATGTCTCTGCTTTTTAAGATGCTGTCTAGGTTTGCCATCGCCTTTCTCCCAAGGAGCAGGCGTCTTTTAATTTCGTGACTGCTGTCACCATCTGCGGTGATCATGGAGCCCAAGAAAGTAAAATCTCTCACTGCCTCCATTTCTTCCCCTTCTATTTGCCAAGAGGTGATGGGACCAGTGGCCACGATCTTCATTTTTTTGGTGTTGAGCTTCAGCCCATATTTTGCGCTCTCCTCTTTCACCCTCAATAAAAGGTTCTTTAATTCCTCCTCACTTTCTGCCATCAAGGTTGTGTCATCTGCATATCTGAGGTTGTTGATATTTCTTCCGGCAGTCTTAATTCCGGCTTGGGATTCATCCAGCCCAGCCTTTCGCATGATGAATTCTGCATATAAGTTAAATAAGGAGGGAGACAATATACAGCCTTGTCATACTCCTTTCCCAATTTTGAACCAATCAGTTGTTATTATTATAGGCATTGTTAACAATTGTTTTTAAGAACATTGTTCACACATATTTATACTGCTTAACTGTGTGTACATTGCAATCACTTATTCATTTTTGTGCGTAGTCATTTTAAGTGCATTAATATAAGAATAAATGTGCAATACTGTTAAAATGCATATCTTCCTCAGATATAAACACATAAATAAATGAAGTATCCTATAGTACAGTAATTCAGTGCTTGGACTAATAATATAATATAATATAATATAATATAATATAATATAATATAATATAATAATATAATATAATATAATATAATATAATATAATATAATACATTCCCTCCCCCCCAAATTAATACTTCATTACTAATTACCGTAATATTCGTACTACTGTAATAATAAAAGAAGTAAAGCCAGAGGCTCCACCCAGCTTCGCCTTGCCCCGCCCACTGGGCGTGACCACCCCACTAAACCCCGCCTCGCCCCGCTTTCCGCCGCCGCCTTTCGCGACCTATTGCCTTCCCCAGTTCCTCTCTCCCCGCCTCCTTTCCACAATGCCTCTCCCGGATTGGCGCAGGCGGACTGCCACTCCCGCGGGCGCCGGGCTCCCCGCTCCCCTCTCTTCCCTCTCGCCTCGCCTCCCCGCCCCTCGGCCTGGCCCCGCGCTGATTGGCCGAGGCGGGGGCGTAGGGGGCGTGGCTCGGCGGACTGGCCGGAGGGCGCGCGGCGGCGGCGGCGGCGGCAGAAGCAGCTGGAGGAAGGAGCGCGAGCGAGGGGAGGGGTGAGTTCTCGGCGTGAGCGGCGGCGGGAGGCGCATGCGCACGGGGCAGCTGCCCCACTCCTCACGCAAGGGGGGAAATGGGGGGGGGGAGGAGGAACTGAGATGGACCCCCCTCTTAAAAAGTGTATCTTTAATGTTGCTATGAGTTAATTTTGGTAGGGGGAGTCGAAAGCTTATTGCTCCCCCCTCCATAGTTTGTCTCCCATAGGTTAGGGGGCTTAAAGTCTGTGGCTCTGACCCCCCCCCCCCATTTGAAAGGCCAGTTCCAAACCCCCCCACTTGAGGGGAGGGGAAGGCTTGTTTCCTGGCCTCCTCCCCCCGCCGGGTTGAAATTGGTTGGGGGCTTATGCCCTTGGTGATATATTTGGGGGGGTTATAAATGTGACACCCCCAATCTGAAATCAGGGAGGGGGTTAAAGTAAGGGGGTAGAGAGCTTGATCGCTCCCCTTGCTGTCTGAAAGAAGGGAGGCTCAAATGGTTAATTTCTGTCACACACCCCCCCTTGGGACTGAAGAGGGGCGAGGGGCGCTCTCTGAGATACAGATTTTGGGGGAGAAAAGATAACTCCCTACAATTTTGGGGGTCTAGAGGTTGAGTCCCTCGCCTCTTCACAAGAGCTGAGATCCTTATTGTGTGGGGGGAGGGGGGCAGTTGTCAAAAAATCCGCAACCCCCCCATTAGGAAAGATCTCTCTCAAAGTGACTTGGCTTCCTCGTTTCTCTTCCCAGTGCCCCACCCTGCCCTGCAAGCAAGGGGGCAGGGGTCTTCATTTCCCCTTATCAAGCCTGAGTGCTTATGGGTGTTTTTCGGTGGGTTGGGGGTTGGGGAGATCAGATGTTAACCTTCGGACTAACAGCCCCCTGGTATGACTCCCCCCCACAAATAAAAAGTTTCCCTGCCTTGTTCCCCGCCCCCCAACAGGTAGAGAATGAACGTCCTCTGTGGGCATCGAGGGGTTAATTCACCCCCCAGACTTAATTATACATTAACTCTGCTTGAAGGGGGGGGCAGAAAAAAGGTTAAGTTCTGCTCCCTCCCCATTTGTCTGCCACCACCTGGTTTGAAAAGCGGGGCGGGGGGGGGGCTTTGAAAACACTCAAGCTTTCAAGGACTCGGGGAAATTTCAGTTCTAGGGTGGGGGGGGCGTGGAAGGTGACTTTGTTTTCCTGGTCAGAGTTTGAGGCTGGGGAATAGAGAGCAACTTTGAGGCTACTTCGAAGGACAAAAAATGGGAGGTCTGTTTCTTTAGGTGTGGGTACAGATTTTTAAAAAGTGTTTTGGCTTCCTTTCTCCTTGGCATTCCTCCCACCCACTCCAAATTTATTTATTTAGAGTATTTATAAGCCAGCTTTCGGGGTAAAAAAAGAGATACCTCTTCCAACCGTCAATGTATGCAAAGTTGTTTTTTTAAAAATAAATATTCTCCCCCCTTGATGCCCTGCCTTTTTCTGCTAAAAATGTATAATATATAAATGGGTGTGTATCTATGAACTGTTTCTCGAGACAGACGGGTGCCAACAAAACAACTCTCTATATTGGATACAGTTGTACCTTGGTTTTAAAATTCAATCTGTTCCGGGAGTCAGTTCAACTCTGGAATATTTAGAAAACCAAGGGGCGGCTTCTGATCAGCTTCCAAAAATTGTTCAAAAACCGGAACAATTACTTCTGGTTTTTGATTGTTGGGGAGCCGGAACGTTTGAGTTCAAAGGCATTTGGCTTCTGAGGTTCCACAGTACATAGAGAGAGAGAGAGATTGAGAAATATCTCTAGCACAGCTGGAATGTACAAAGGTTAAGCGCCTCAGACATTGTTCTGCCGGTCTCCTTTGGGTTGAAAAAGCTGCTTCCTGATGGGAAAAAATCATAGAAATGTATCGTCAGAAGGGACCACGGGGGGCATCTAGTCCAACCCCCTGAAATGCAGGAATCTGTCACCCAATGTGGGGCTTGAACCCTCAACCCAGGGATTGAGAGACTAATGCTCTACCAATTTAGCTATCCAGCTTCAAGTAAGATCTTAAAACGGGGGTGGATTTGCTTCTTGGAGGAATGCACCGTACTGGGAGAGACTGGCCAATGGCCTGATTTGAAATAAGGCAGACTCACCTATTGGAATCCTTGGTTTCCTTGGGCAAAATATTGGTGGGGATTCGCACCCATCGCCCTCCGGGTGTTTCAGTACTCCAACTCTCAGCAGCCAGGAATGGTCAGGGGTGATGATGGGAGTTGAAATTCAGCAAAACCTGGAAAATAGATGTTTTCTCCTCCTGGTTATCCTCTTCAAAGTATATGGGAAGAGTTGATAGTAAAATAGCAGGAGAGACCTAGCCCAGCAGGACATCTGCTCTGCATGCAGAAGATCCCAGGTTCAGTCCCAAGCGTCTCCAGGTAGGACTGGGAGAGCTGCTGCCGGTCAGTGTAGGTGATACTGAGCAACGTGGACTAATGCAAGGCCTGGCTCTACATAAGGCAGCGTATCAAGTTTCTAGATTGCAAAAAAATAAACCAACATCAAGCTGCTTGCTGAGGTCCCAGGTTCACTTCCCAGCATCTCCTGATAGGACTGGGGATGTCACAGAATCATAGATTTCTAGAGTTGGAAGGGACTCCAAGAGTCATCTAGTCCAACCCCCTGCAATGCAGGAATCTCAGCTCAAACATCCATGACAGACAGCCATCCAACCTCTGCTTTAAAACCTCCAAGGAAGGAGAGCCCACCACCTGTTCCTCTTATTATCAGAAAGTCTTTCCTGAGGCTGATTCGGAATCTCCTTTCTTGTAACTTGAAGCCACTGGTTCGGACCCCACCCTCCAGAGCAGAAGAAGACAAGCTTGCTCCCTCTTCCATGTGACAGCTGTTGAGATATTTGAAGATGGCTCTCATATCTCCTCTTTCCCAGGCTAAACATCCCCAGCTCCTTCAAGCGCTCCTCATCAGGCTTGCTTTCCAGTCCCTTGATCATCTTGGTTGCCCTCCTCTGCACATCTTTCAGCTTGTCAAGATCCTTCTTAAATCGTGGTGCCCAGAACTGGACAGAGTATTCCAGGTGTGGTCTGACCAAGGTAGAGTAGGACTATGACTTGGCTTGATCTGGACACTAGACTTCTGTTGATGTCCCCTGGATCAAATGGTAGAGAACCAGTGCAGACCACATTGATCTAGGCAGACGAGCAGTCTGACTCTGTAAGCTTCCTGTGTCCCTAAGGACCAGCTGAGTTCCTTGTGCTGGGGCTGGTTAGCGCCCCCCCCCCCGCCCTATTTAACGTGAATCCATTGGGATTTCTGTTCATGGTGATATTGGGGAGGTTACATTATTCTGGTGGTGGTGGTGGTGGTGGTGGTGGTGGTGGTATCAGGGTAGCCACTTAAGTTTGTATATTGCCCTACATCTGTATATCTCAGGGCAAGAAACCAAACCAAAAATCTCGCTTGCAACCCTGCCTTTGATACTATCCTTGCATAGTTTTGGGGGCAGACATGATTTGCTCCTAAATGGAGCATGCCCTGTAATTTCTTGCTGAAATTCTACAACTTTTTATACTGTGAATGCTCTGGTTTGGGATTTCCTTGTTGTGCAAAAGTGCCCTTCTGGAAGTCAATAACAGTGGGGTGGCATGCATTGCTGAGCAACTAATATAAAGCAGAATGGTGCGTGGACGGTCCGGGATAAACCCAGCAGTGATGCAGAATGACCTCATCAGTTGCAGCAAACTCCCCTAGGAGGAAAGGTTTCTTCAGCGTCTGGGACTTTTTAGTTATGAGAAAAGGCAGGTTAGAGGCGACACGATGGAAGTTTACGGCAGGTCCAGGGCAGGTCCAGGCAAGTCCTTAAAACTATGGCACTCCCTCCCACTTGAGGCAGGAATGGCCAATAACTTGGTTGGCTTTGAAAGCTGATTGGGCAAATTCAGGGAGGAGAAATTCAGTGGCAACTCGCCACCATGGCTATGCTTCTCCCACATCCAGAGGCCGCAATGCTTCTAAATCCCAGTTGCTGGAAGCCACTGAAGGGGAGAGCTCTCTTGAACTCGGGTCCTGCTCGTGGGCTTCCCAGTGGGGGCATCTGGTTGGCCACGGTAACAACAGGATGCTGGTTAGAATCAAGGTTGCAGGTTTGATTCCCATATGGGGCAACTCGCAGGGGGTTGGACTAGATGACCCTCAGGGTCCCATCCAATGCTAAAATTCTGTTTCTTGATGGGCTGTTGGCTGGATCCAGCAGACTGTGTTTATGCTGCACAATAAGCCCACCCACAGAAAAGCCACACCAGTCTGGAGCTAGATTTCTCCCCACTCTTTGCAAAGATGCATTGCTTTCCCCTGTGTATATAGATTGAGGCAGAGCCTGACCGTGCCGGTGGCGCCAGATGGGAGTTGGAGCCCAAACATCTGGATGGTACCAGGTTGACAAGGATGGTCCGCACCAGAGTTTCCCAAACTTGGGTTTCCAGCTGTTTTTGGACTACAACTCCCATCCCTAGGTGCCCAGTGGTCGGGGATGATGGGAACTGTAGTCCAAAAACAGCTGGAGACCCAAGTTTGGGAAGTCCTGATCCACACCAATACAGGTGCAACTACATATGCAAAAAAAAGGTAGCCTTATTTATAGTAAAAACCTCCATAATTTCACTTCAGGGTTTGTGGACCATTGTGGAGCTTTTGACGATCGATTGACTGAAAGTTTAGGACAAGAATTGCGTAATGGCTTCTTTTCTTTAAGTAGTTAAAGCTGGATTAAAAGCAGATAAAAGCAGATATCAACAACTAAAAGGAATTGGCAGCTCTCAAAACAACTTCAGCTCCCAAATGCCTGGTCTGCTTTTTAATTTCTCCTGGAAGCTAATAGCGAGGGAGATGGATGCACCTCATGAGTGAGGGCATCTCACAAACGGGAAGCCACCACCAAGGAGGCCCCGTCTTGGGTCACTGCCAACTGGGCACCCTGGCAGCCTTGTGTTAACCTTGTGGATGGGGGGTGGCAAGGGCGGAGGACTTCTGCATCTTTTACCCCGACCAAGCAGGGCTCGTCTTCCAGCCTCGCCAATGTCCTCAGTGTATAACATGGCAGTGGCAGAAAGGAGTCACCCCCTGTCAGTCTGGTTGCTTTCCTGCATGGAACGCCTGCTGGCCACGGATGAGCTCAGTCGGTGGAGCATGAGGCTCTAATCACAGGGTTGTGGGTTCAAGTCCCACAATGGGCAAAAGCAAGGCTTTTTTTCCAGCTGGAACTTAGTTCCATTGCCTCTCGGGAAGTTGCCTTTGCCATTTTAAGAGAATGAGGGAGGCATTCAAAGTGAGTTCCAACACCTCTTTTTCAAGAAAACTAGCACTGGTAAAATAACAACCCCCTTGGGCTCCCTTCCAACTCTACAGTTATAAGATTCTATGACCAGGCATTTGGGATTCAAGGCTTTCTTGTCACTTTTTACGCCAGCCCTGTGAGGTAGGCAAAGAGTTCTCTCTTCATGTGGCTGACAGAAGTGTGGGTGGAAAAAATGAGGCTGCAGGGGATAATTTCATAGCAGAACGGGGATTTGAACTCGGGACCGAAACGTTGCCGTTCCGCTCTCTTTTTTTAAAAGCCCCACATCTTTTTGCCTGGGGGCTCTACCAGAATCCTTAAAAACAGCTAGGGAGCAGTGATTTTTTCGACGTGCTACTTGCAGTGCTGCAAAGAAGACTTTTAATCTTGAGGAGCAATAGTACAGTATGTTTGCCTAAGGAGCTGCCCAGCGGGTAGACTTTGAACGCTCTGGTTCTGGACAGATCTCCAGGCGGGGACCTCTGCAGGAATTCTCCCCTGGTAGGCAGACAGGGTCAGCAAACAGAGGATAAACTAGCAGAGAAAGCTGGTTGACTCCACTGAAGTTGGCTGGGTCTAAGCCCCTGGGAGTGGGACCCTCACCTCTGGGGAAGGGAACCCACTGGAGCGTGATGGGGAATGATTATTGGAAGGGCTGGATCCCACCAAAGGAGAGCCAGCTAGTCTAGCATGCTGCTCTCAAAGGCATCTTCAGGGTCAAGCGCAAGTCAAGCCCCACAGAGAGCACTCTGCAGTAGTCCAGTCTGGACACATTATTAGTAATAGGCAACATTTTACTGTTTTAACATGTTCCGTGAAATTGCTCCCTCTAAAAGTAAATCTGAGATGACGACAAATTAGCGCCTGGCTAATTTCGAACACTGATCTTACAAATACAGTGGTACCTCTGGTTGCGAACGGGATCCGTTCCGGAGGCTCGTTCGCAACATGAAAAGAGCGCAACCCGCAGCAGCGCGTATGCGCACGCACAGGTTGCGATTCGCTGCTTCTGTGCATGATGTCATTTGGCACTTCTGCACATGCGCAAGCAGCGAAACCCAGAAGTAACCCTTTCCGGTACTTCCAGGTCACCGTGGGACGTAACCTGAAAGAACGTAACATGAAGCGGACGTAACATGAGGTATGTCTGTACAGTAATAGCTCGGAGACTCATGCAGAGAGACACGGATGGGCTCCTGTGAAGCCAGCTGGTCCTCATTTTATGAATAAAATCACATATCAGATACTCTCACAGAGAGACTCCTCTGGAAGCAACTGGCTCTCGCTTGCTCTGCGTCGTCTTTTTGCACCTTTCAGTTCAGGAGAGACAAGGTCTCCATCTCCAAGAAGTCTGAGGAAGCCTGTTAAGCTCTGAGTTTTTCCCCAAGGGAAAAAGAAATAGGTCAAGGCCTTTTTGGGAAAACAGCCATTCAGGATTATCTTACGGCTTGCCAGCCAGTTCCCTTTGGCCGAGGTGGGGAGTGGGCAAGCAAAGAGAGGTTTTCCTTTCCCCATCCTTTCGCTTCTTGGTGGTGGGCAGTGAGAATTTTGTGGTTTTGTGGAGAGACAATGGGACAGCCTGCTCCTGGTCTCACAGCTGGGGAAAATCCCAGAAGTTCTTGGGGTGGTGGGGAGGCTGACCCCTTTAAAAGAAATAATGGCGAGGGCCTCTCTCTACGTGGCTGAACTGGTGCCCAGGCTGGTCCCAGGAGAACAGGAGGGAATCTTATTTTCTGTGGCTGCAAAGAGTAAGGCTTGGGAAATGCACCCGAATCTATGCTTTGAACCAGAGGTTCCCACCCGCCCTGGGAGCAGCAGGCTTTGGAAAAGTGGTGTCGTTGGATCAAGACCATCAATTTTGCAGAGTTAATCTCCCCCCAATTCTTTTGCCCAATCTGGGGCTCGAAATAGTTTGAGCTGGATTTTGAACAAATGTGCAATTAATCGTTACGGCTTTGACTCTTACGGTGTCAGCACAGTGGTTCTCGAACTTTCAGAATAAAAATTTGCTCACGCCACACCGGATTTTTTTATTGATAAGACATATATTGGAAAACAAAAGGAAACAGCTTCTGGCAGTGTTTGATTTGTAACGTTGAGCACAGTTACTATATAATACGATCATGGGACACCCAGAAAGTATTAAACAATGCAGCAGCGTAAGGACACACATCATTCCCAAAATATAATTGTAAGCGAACCTCTTACATATGAACCTTAAACTCTGCTTTTTTCTGGGGGACGCAGGGGGACACATACCCCCAATCATCTTTTTTTAGAAAAAAAAGCACTGACCTTACATATAAACTCAGTGAGAGGTGAGAGCTTGTTTTTTTTGCTAGGTAATCTCATTTATATTAGCTCAAATTTGAGACGAACAAACACTCATCAACACAAAGCAGCCTTCCTCTTTTCTGATCTTTCATATTTGTAGGAAAATCCCTGTTCACAACAATATGATGTGGATAACTGTAGAAGAATAGCTAATACAGTGGACGCTCGGGTTGCGAACGTGATCCGTGCGGGATGCACGTTCACAACCCGTAGCATTCGCAACCCGCAGTGGCGCGTCTGCGCATGTGCCAAGCGCGATTTAGTGCTTCTGCACATGCACGACCACCGAAACCCAGAAGTAACCCGTTCCAGTACTCGGCTGTCCGTAACCTGAAAAAACGCAGCCTGAAGTGTCTGTAACCCGAGGTATGACTGTGGTCTTGAAGAGAGGCATGGGTACTGTTTCTAAGGTGTGGGTGTGTATTTGTATGTGTGTAAAATTATTTTGATGTGATACCATGCTGTACTACACTGAAAAGTTAAAATGTTTCTTTAATTGTCCTTGAATCTTCGCAGCACAATTGCCGTCCTCTCCCGCTGCCCTTTGAGAAGCACTGGGTTAGCATATAACTTGGTGGGCAATACAAACCACTATTTGTAACCACTAACTTGTCAAGTTTCTAGATCTCATGGTTGCAAAAAACCACAAAAAAATCTGTATACATGGATGAGATCACGGGTTCAGGTCCCGGCATCTCCAGATAGCACTGGGAAGGTCCATCACTGGGAATGGCAAAGAGGTGCTGCCAGTCAGTGTGGGCAATACAGAGCTAGATGGACCAGTATAATACAATTTCCTTACAAAACACAATTACAGTAGTACCTTGGGTTAAGTACTTAATTCATTCCGGAGGTCCATACTTACCGTATTTTTCGCCCTATAGGACACACTTTTTGCTCTCCAAAAATGAAGGGGAAATGTGTGTGCGTCCTATGGGGCAAATGCAGGCTTTCGCTGAAGCCTGGAGAGCGAGAGGGGTCGGTGCGCACCGACCCCTCATGCTCTCCAGGCTTCAGGAAGCTCTGCGCAGCCCTCGGGAGCCCGGCGTGAAGTCGTGCCGGGCTCCCGACGGCTGCGCGGAGCTGCCTGCATTCCGAAGCCTGGGACGCGCTGAAGAGTGTGCCCGGGCTTCACGCACCTCTCCGCAAGCCTGGGGAGACTGGCGCGACTTCGCACTGGGCTCCCTAGGCTTGCGGATAGCAGGCTGTTCTGGGGGCTGGGGTCGGGGGAAGCTCGGGCTTCCCCCGCGCCAGCCCCGCGCCTGGGGGGGAAATAAATTTTTTTTCTTTATTTCCCCCCAAAAAAAACCTAGGTGCGTCCTATGGGGCGGTGCGCCCTATGGGGCGAAAAATACGGTAACCTGAAACTGTTCTTAACCTGAAGCACCACTTTAGCTAATGGGGCCTCCCACTGCTGCCGCACCGCCGGAGCACGATTTCTGTTCTCATCCTGAAGCAAAGTTCTTAACCCGAGGTACTATTTCTGGGTTAGCGGAGCCTGTAACCTGAAGCGTATATAACCTGAGGTACCACTGTATATAGAAAAGAGAGGGGAAAGAATATATAAGCCTTCAATAAATTGTTTATATAATGCATCTTCTGCAAATCCTAGTGTAGCAAGTTATAATTGCACAATAAACATAATTTTAAAAAAACAGCTGAAAGCTTCTGTGCCCAGTTTCACGCTCTCTTGTTGGCTTGTGACAAATGCCTCTTCGTTTTATAGAGAATCTGCTTGGTTACTGAATTCCAAGGAGTGTTGCTATGCTGCTGGTTTTGATGTATTTAAAATCTTACCACTCCAGTTTCAAAAGCGAAATGTGGTTTGATTCCCCTTTTGTTTGAATCCTGAGGTTTGTGGCTGGCTTTGGGTTCGAGGAGGTATTAGGCAGTGTGCAATGCGCTACCTGTGACAATCAGCTCTGCCTTTCGGAGAGGTGAATTGGGCGCCTGCAGGGTAAGGCGATCTTGAAGGGAAAGTGGTCCCAATCTGTCTTGAGGTTGAATCCCAACAAGACAGAAGTGCTCTTTCTGGAGGACAGGGGGCGGGTGGGTTTGGGGGACTCCCTGGTCCTGAATGGGGTAAGTGTGCCCCTGAAGGACCAGGTGCACAGCCTGGGAGTCATTTTGGACTCACCACTGTCCATGGAGGCACAGGCCAATTCTGTGTCCAGGGCAGCTGTCTACTAGCTCCATCTGAGACCCTACCTGCCCGCAGAGTGGTGCATGCTCTAGTTATCTCTCGCTTGGACTACTGCAATGCGCTCTATGTAGGGCTACCTTTGAAGGTGACCCGGAAACTACAACTAATCCAGAATGCAACAGCTAGACTGGTGACTGGGAGCGGCCACCGAGACGACATAACAATGGTCCTATAAGGCCTACATTGGCTTCCAGTACGTTTCTGAACACAATTCAAAGTGTTGGTGCTGACCTTTGAAGCCCTAAACGACCTCAGCCCTGTATACCTGAAGGAGCATCTCCACCCTCATCGTTCTGCCTGGACACTGAGGTCCAGCTCCGAGGGCCTTCTGGAGGTTCCCCCCCGCGAAAAGTGAGGATACAGGGAACCAGGCAGAGGGCCTTCTCGGTGGTGGCACCTGCCCTGTGGAACGCTCTCCCGTCAGATGTCAAGGAAATAAACAGTGGCAAATTGGTAACCAGTGCAGATCTCCGAGTAGGTGTGTTGCTTTCGACGAGGCCTGTCAGCATTCGCACTGCAGTATTCTGCATCGATTGCTGCTTCCGGGTGAAGCTCAAGGGAGGTCCTACGGAAAGCGCATTGCAGTAGTCCAGTCTTTAAGGATGGCTATTTGAAGATGAGTATTGTATGGCCGAATGAACACGCAGCGCCACTTGTCAGGTGGGCGGGTGTGTGCATGCAGCCTCCCCTCTTTCCGTTGACCTTTGGACCTGATGGTGCACTTGTGCCATTCAAAGCAGTCCTGATGCCAGAAGCCTGCATGCCCTCTCTCTGGACTGACCTGCTGAACAAGTGGGAGCAGAATAGATGGATCCTTCCTGCTTTCTTTTTTTTAATGCAACCCATTCTCTCTCTGTGTGTCTTTTAAAATTTTTATTTAGATTTTACATCATACAAAAGAAAAAGAGAAATACTGTTATACATAACAGAAAAGAAACATTAAATCATTATACAATAAATCATTATACAATATCCAAAAAAGCTAAACAAAATAAAATAAACCCACCACCCTATTTAACTTCCTTCCTCCGCTACTCATCTTCTCTAGAATCAATTTTACCCTTATCATTGCATTCTGATTGTTTTTATTTTCTCTATATACATATATATGTCACTGATAAATTATTGTTTTGATGCATTTACCTTCTTAGTCTAAGCATATCAGCATGTCTTTTTAGAGCAGTATTTTGTCATATAGTCATCAAAGCATCACCATTCATTTTTTAGTTTTTTATTTGACTGCTGTCTTATGGATGCTGTTAATTTAGCCAATTTTAAATATTCGTTTAATTTGAGAAGCCATTCCTCTTTGGTAGGTAGTTCTTTACCTTTCCATTTAGATGCTATTACTATCCTAGCTGCTAGGATAGGACAGCTAGATGGATCCTGCTTTTTGCCCTGTTTGGATGAGGGCTACCTTTGAGTATTTTCCGTCTCTCTTTCTACACTTGCATTTTGTTTTCGTCGGCTTTCTGTGTCACTGCTCTGGGCAGCCTTGTTCCAGTGTCGAACGGCTCTTACTCTTAGGAAGTTCTTCCTAAGATTTAGTTGGAATCTCCTTTCTTTTGACTTGAAGCCATTCGTTCGAGTCCTACCCTCCAGAACAGGGGAAAAGAAGCTTGTTCCCTCTTCCATGTGACAGCCCTTGAGATATTTGAAGATGGCTATCATATCTCCTCTCAGTCGTCTCTTTTCCAGGCTAAATGTACCCAGCTCCTTCAACCGTTCCTCATAAGGCTTGGTCTCCAGTCCCTTGATCATCTTATTATCAAAATTTTCAGACTTTTAGCTGTTTGCAGTGAGAAAAAAAAGCAATGAAATAGCTCAACGGATGCTTCCAGTGGTTTCCCCAAATTCAGCTGAAATTGCAACTTATACTGGCTTCTCCAGTAGATTTTGATAATAAACTTGATTTGCAATGGGGGCTGGATAATTTCGATTGCACCTGTACGTTGACCAGCTGTCAGTCCCCCAGAAAGTTCTTTGCAACATTGGGTCGGAATCTCCTTTTCTGCAATATCAGTGCATTAATTTATTGCTGTTTATTTTATTTAAAGGCTGGCCACACTTGTCTAATCTCACCGGGACGCCGAGCACGCCAGGAAGACCTCCTTGGAACGGACAAAGGCAGTTCACTGTGCTGAGTTGAGCAACGAAGGTCAATTTCGTCCATTTCCTTGAGGTGCCCAAGCGTGTGGGTGTGTGGGGTGTCCTTTCTCCTGCGGAGCTCAGCCAACCTCCCTCTCGGATCTTCTCTGCCGCGAGCCCCACCTCTGGACCCAGGCAAGAATATTTCTCCTCTCTTCCCCCTGCTGTGTGTGTTTCATGTTAAGTTTCTTTCGGCCGAAATTTGCGGGAGGAACCCGTGTCTTTCTGCTCCTTTCTCTGTATTTGGGTCTGGTTTCTTCCAGTTTAATTTTTGGGGAGCCGATGGTGCTGGGCACCTCAAGGGGCTGGTGGGGGAGAAGGATGGAGAAAACCTGCCCGGCTGCATGCAGTGTTCAAAATCCCCCTGGCAATGTATAAAACAAGTAATCATTGTTGGAAATGTAAAGAAAAAGAAGGTACCCATATTTTTTGCACCATAACACTCACTTTTTTCCTCCTAGAAAGTAAGGGGAAATGTCTGTGCATGTTATGGAGGGAATGCCTATGGGTGGCATGCCTACGGATTTTCCTTCTCTAAAAACTACGTGCGTGTTATGGTCGGGTGCGTGTTATAGAGCGAAAAATACGGTACTTTTTACCATATGTGGTGGGTCTGTAAGGAGGTGAAAGCTTTCTGGGAAATGATTTATAAAGAACTTACAAAAATGTTGAAATATACATTTGTAAAAAACCTCCAGAAGCCTGCTTACTAGGCATTGTAGGTAATGAAATACATAAGCAAGATAAAAGACTGTTTTTATATGCAACAACTGCAGCAAGAATATTACTAGCCCAACGATGGAAGCAACAAGAGATACCAACGAAAGAAGAGGGGCAGACGAAACTAATGGACTATGCCGAGTTGGCGAAACTAACAGGGAAAATTTGGAACCAGCAAGACCAGACTTTCCTGAAAGACTAGAATAAATTTACAGAATACTTGAAAGACAATTGTAAACAACTAACTTCGCTAGTAGGGTTGCAAGAAGTTTTGTTAGGTGGACTTTATCAATTATTGCAAAGTATAATTTAAAAATTGTTGATCTATGATTAGGATTTAATAGTAATAATTATAATCCCAAAATGCAGTATTAGATAATAAGTGGGAAAACCATTAGTCGAGGAGGACGGAAGTTTCAGGGTGTTGCGGCCAAATGCATTTTATATTATATGCAAGTTGAATGCTATGTTTAAAATATCTGTAAAAAATCATAAAAATTGTTATAAAAAACACAAAATCCCCCTGGCAACAGGTGCGTTTTGCGGCTGGCTTGGGTCCAATTGTGACCCCCAACGTCTCCCTCTGGCTGGCCCCTCTGGCTTTCTTAAGCAGGTCAGCAGGAGAGCCTATTTACTGCATTTATCTCCCAACTTTTTCTCAAAGGAGAACATGGTTCACCCCCCTCCTCAGGGAGGGAGGTTAAGAGGCTGTGAGCTGACTCACCAGGTCACCCAGGGAGCTTCAGGGCAGAGTGGGGATTTGAACCCTGATCTCATAGGTCCTTGTCCAACACTCTAACCACTACACCCCACTGGCTTCCCAGAGTGGGGAAGTAGGCAAATAAATATGGGGAAAGCAAAGTGTCCCTTAGAGAAGAATCTGAAATCTTTTCCTTGAAGCTTGAGTTTCATCATAGGAATCATCGAATCATAGCGTTGGAAGGGACCACGAGGGTCATCTAGAAGAAGAAGAATAATAATAATTACTGTTGTTGTTGTTATACCCTGCCCATCTGACTGGGTTGCCCCCACCACTCTGAGTGGCTTCCAGCATATATAAAAGTATAATAAAACATCACACAGGAGCAAAAGAAATCTTTTGCCCAACGTGGGGCTTGAACCCACAACCCCAAGATTAAGAGTTGCATACTCTTAATCTTAAAACGGAGCTGTTTTATTCTGGATTGTTCTTTTTGACGTTTTAATGTGTTGTAAACTGCTTGGCGATTTTTCCCCTTTAAAATGTAAAGCGGTATAGAAATGAAACATAATAATAATAATAATAGTAGCAGTAGTAGTAGTAGTAGTAGTAATAAAGTTCATTGCAAAAAAGAACAAAGGTGCCTGGACATTCTGTCACGGTGAACGCAACTAGATTTAAGGGGCCGATTGGCGATTAGCTGATATATCTGAGTTTCCAACCTTGAGTGCGTGGCTCTGGCAAGCGTCATAATGTCCTGTGCTTGAGATTAAGATCTCTCCTGCTCAAGTTGCAGCGGGAGAATTAAGATAGCAGCCGGGCGGTTAGCTCAAACTACTCCCACCCACATAATCTTGCCGTCTCTCCTTGGCAGGCACTCAAGCCGAAGCGCTGAGCGATGATAATAATATGAAAAATATTGTGTCTGCCATCCTCAGCCCTTCTCAGAAGGGGGGCAGCCGGTGACATCCGAGTAAGCCTGTTGTTTGCAGGGGAAAAACACCCAAGATCAGTGCTGGTTTCTGCTTTGCTCGAGTTCTGTGCTGCAGGGAATTAATTTCATTCCCCCTTTCGCCCGACACAAGGAGCGCAACGCGACGTATGTGGTTCTCCTGCTCCCCCTCCTCATTTAATCCCCACTGCAGCCCTGTGAGGTGGGCCAAGCCGAGAGGCACCAGGTTGCCACAGGCTGCCTGGCAGAATAGAAGGTTTCCAGGCAGGGCTCGAAAGGGGCAAAGGGTGGGTGAGTAAGAAAAACAGCGCCTGCTGGATCAGGCCCAGGGGCCAGCATCCTAGTCCAGCACCCTCTTCTCACTGCAGCCAACCAGACACCCGTGTCAGGAAACCCGCCAGCAGGATTGGAACCCCAGAGCCCTCTCCCTTCCTGCATTTGGGATGCAGAAAGATTTCTCCCTCTGAGCATCACCCTATTGGCTAGTGGCCATTCCTCTGTGAGTTCATCCAATGCTGTTTTGAAGCCAGCCAGGTTGGTGGTCACGCTGCCTCCCGTGGCAAGGAGTTCCATAGTTTAACTATGTGCAGCATGAGGTAAGGCTTTCTTTCATCCGTCCCGAATCCCCCAGAATTCAGCTTCGTTAGGCAAGGAGTTAAGCATCTGAGGGCAGCCCGGCATAGGGAAGCTTTTTAATGTTTAATGTTCTGTTATGTTTTTTATACATTTTGGAAGCCGCCCAGAGTGGCTGGGGCAACCCAGTCAGACGGGTGGGGTATAAATAATAAAACTATTATTATTATCATCATCATCATCATCATCATCATCATCAGTGCTCCCCCGGGGGTACTCAAGTGTACGCAGTACTGGCATGGTTTTTTCTCTAGAAGAAAAGCATTGATGATGATGTTGATGATGGAACAGGACATCCAGGGATTTCTTCCTTACAGGGGGTTGGTCTAGATGACCCTTGGGATTCCCTTCCAACTCTACGATTTAATAATAATAATTTATTATTAATACCCCCCCCCCATCTGGCTGGGTTTCCCCAGCCACTCTGGGCGCCTTCCAACAAAGGATTAAAAGTACATTAAAACATCAGTCTTTAAAAACTTCCCTAAACAGGGCTGCCTTCAGATGTCTTCTAAACGTCAGACAGTTGTTTATCTCCTTGACATCTGATGGGAGGGCGTTCCACAGAAGGCCCTCGGGAATGATTCTTATTTTCATCAGAGAGATGTTGGAGGGTCTGTAATATGTGCTGCATTAATCATGGAAATGTTTGTGTGCATGTAGAAGTCCCTCTAGTCCAGGAGCAGGGTGAGATCCTCTTTGCTCTGCTGCCACTCGGAAACCTGATTTGTGTCCCTGGTTTTTTATTCTCGACCTTGAGCTTAGTTCTGGTGACTCCACCGCTCCGCTCCTCCTCTCTCTCTGCAGTTGTGCATTGCTGAAAGCGAGATGTCACAGAGCGTTTCTGGCCTGGGAGCTTCCCGTTGCAATCCTTCGTGGCCAAAAATAAGCTGGGGTCGAAAAGGGATGAAGGAGGGGAGGGGAGAGGCAGAGGGGTGTGTTGTGACCACAGGCCTGTTTTTTCCAAAATGAAATTAGTAGTTCAAGAGAAGAATGGTTCCTTCTCCAAGTCTCTCTGTCTGTCTAGCTGTCCACTGATGTGTCAGTTCCTTACCCAGCTGTATGTAAATAATAATGATAATAATAATAATAATAATAATAATAATAATAATAATAATATCCTGCCTTTTTGTCTAACAGAGACTCAAGGTAGATTACAGCTTAAATAGAAATAGCTAAAAATATTGGGTGCGGGGGAGAATAATAATAATAATAAAGCACAAATAAAAATGCACAAACACATGTATATGAAAACATATAAGGAGCGTCTCCACCCCCATCGTTCTGCCCGGACACTGAGGTCCAGCTCTGAGGGCCTCCTGGCCGTTCCCTCACTGCAAGACGTAAGGTTACAGGGAAGCAGGCAGAGGGCCTTCTTGGTGGTGGCGCCTACCAGATGCCAAGGAAATAAACAACTACACAACTTCCTGAAGGCAGCCCTGTACAGGGGACTTTTTGATATTTGATGTTTTACTGTGTTTTTAGTGTCTGAGGCCAACCCAGTTAGAGGGGTGTGCAGGAACTCTCCTCCTCCTTCCTCCCTCCAAGCTCGTTTTCTTTTTGTGCTGTGTCTATTTAGATTGTAAGCTTTTTCTTGAGTAATTTGTTAGCTGCCCTGGGAGCCTTTTGTCGCTGTCGTTGTTGTTCCAAATTGGGGTACTTCTTTGACTTCCTAACAAGTCCTGATTCAGGTTTTGAGCTACTGTCCTTGACTCCTCCCCGCCCCCTCCTCTTCCTCAGGAGGTCTGGTTCTTTTCCTGGGCAGCCCCTGAGCCTGGCATGGGGAGTGGTCGAGCAGCAGGAGGCCAAGTGGGTTTCAAGCAGAAAGATGTAGAGCCGCAAATCCACATGCCGATTTTGCCAGAGGTGAGTCTTGCTGAGAACGCTGGCAGCGTGAAGGTCAATTCAAGAGGATAACAAATACTTGAGAGATGTAAGATAGGAGAACTGAATAAAATGGTTAGAGTAAAATGCAGGAATGGTGGATAAACTAAATGAGCCATGGAAGGGGAAAGAGGGAGGTCATCAAATGTATGGTGTTTATTTTGAGGTGCAAAATTGAAAACTTAATAAAAACTATAATACCTTGGAAGTCGAATGGAATCCGTTCCGGAAGTCTGTTCGACTTACATAACGTTCAGAAACCAAGGCATGGCTTCCCATTGGCTGCAGGAAGCTCCTGCAGCCAATCGGAAGCCGCAAAAGTCGCGTCGGATGTTCGGGTTCCAAAGAACGTTCAAAAACCGGAACAACCGGTTCCGGTTGAGTGCTGGTCTCGAAGTGGGGGTGACGGTGGGCAGTGTAGGTGGAGAGAATTTCAGGGATGAAGGGCACCAGGTTGGCAAACGCTGCCCTAGAACAGCCTTGCAGTTAAACCAGGTAAATTTACAAGTCCCACATAAATCCATATAGATTTGCAATCTCAAGGTGTGAAAGAAAGGGGCAAGCCTGATCACCTATGGCAGACAGGAGCCAGCAAGGAAGAAGTTCGCCAACGTCTCCCTTGTCCGCTCGCCTGCTGCTGGTTCCTGCTCACCCTAGGTGACCAGCCAAGTGGCTTGTGAGTTTCTAGGTGCTTCCTTGCCGCCCTCCTTTGGTTTTCTGTTCCAGGCTGCCCAGGAGAGAAGGAGCGTCCTCAACTCCCTGATATCTGGGGCGTTTGCTGGCGCTGTGGCCAAGACTGCGGTGGCGCCTCTGGACAGGACAAAAATCATATTCCAAGGTATTTCGGGGGGGGGCAGCTTTTTATAATTTTGTAAGTTGTGTACGCCACAATCATCACAATGATAACAAATAAAGGCTTGACATATCTCACTTTGCATGTCATGAGTCTATCTCATATATTAGTTTCACCTTTTAAGTTGAATTACTGAAGAAAATGAACTTTTCCATGATATTCTAATTTTTCGAGTTTCACCTGTATATAAAAATAGAACGGATGCAGGGGAAAACCCTGTTTTTAATGCTGTGGACTTTCAACCCCCCCTCGACAGGGCAGAGAATCCCCCAAACTTAAAGCCTGGTTTGCAGCTCAGATTAAAAGCTCTCTCTCTCTCTTTATATATATATTTCTGTTTTGAGGATTAATCCTCCAATGAGTTTTTGCTGGAAAGAGATTTGGCTTGATTCAGGGTTTGTTTGCTTGTCTTTGGACTGGCTTATCTGCTGGCTGGGATAATTGGGGGCAGGCAGAGTCAAACTGAGATTGGGGACAGAGAGAGAGAGAGAGAGAGAGAGAGAGAATTGTTTTGGGGTGTTTGCAAATTGCATAAGAGATAACCGATACGGCTATATGGGGTGGGGGAAACTGGGAAAGCAGGGGAGAATTCTGGTGGGGTTTTTTTTGTTTTTTAAGTGTAAATCACAAGAGAATGCGGCTGATCAGTAGTCTTCAGATCCTTTTAGGCTCCAGTATTGATAAAGAGCTTTGAAAGAAATAGGGCTCTTACCCTAGAGAAATCCTAGTTCACTGATCCACGAGTGTTAGTGGATGAATTGATTTGTACCTGCAAATGAGTAAAAGTATGCTTGCTTTTAATTTTTCTGCTTTTCTCTTTCAGTATCATCAAATCGGTTTTCTGCCAAGGTAAGACTTAAAGCACAATCCTCCTTTCTTTGCTCTGTTGCTTAGATGAGCAGCTTTGGTTTTTTACTTAACAAAGTCCCCCGCCCCAAATAGTTAAGCTGTACACCCCCTGCTGGGGTGTTGGGGAGGGGCGGTCTCTCTGGTGGGGGACACGTCCTGCTCCTTCTGGGGTTGTTTTCCCACCTTTGGTCCCCACCTGGACCCAACTCTCACCTGTGGCTGCTAGGTGTGTCAGCATACAACAGTGGCCACAATCCCGGGAGCAGCTTCGACTGGCTTGCTAAACCAGGTGAGGGGAGCCAATGGGTCTCAAACCCTCAGTGAGTCAGGGGCTTCCCCTGCATGCGAAGCCAGGCTCCGGTGGACGGAACAGACGAGACTAAGAGGGAGTCCAGTGGTCAAGAAGGCAGTTTCTGCGTGTGCTATAGAGGGGAGTGAGGGGCAGGTGGGACCCGTCCACCTGGGAAGGGAGCCTATAGGAGAAAGAAGACTCTGGTCCTTGTGGGACATCTTTGGGAGAAGAAAAGGCTACACAAATCTTGAGGGGAGTCCCTCAGGCGGTTGGATGGTGCCCTGTCCGCCTCCTTCCGGCAACTCCTGCAGCCTGGCTGGTGCCAAACATCTTGCTCTGCTTTCCTTTCGGTCCTCCACCAGCGAGCCCAAGAGGGGCGTCTTGCCGTCTGGGCAGCCCAGGATCTCCATGCACCCTGCCTAGGCTTGCGTCCCGGGGGGGGGGGCGGGCACTTGAGTGCTACAAACGCAGCAGTCTGGCTTCACCCCAGAAGCGCACTCTATTGTCTCTTGAGGCAGACAGACACCATCAACAACAGCACACCCCACCCCGGAACAACGCCTCCTTTTGAGATTACAGTTTGTGGTTTGTCAAAAGTGAGGCAAACCAAGAGCCCTGCTTCAGATTATGCGCTCAGCCTCTCTTGGTCTCTCTTTTCCAACAACTCTGCTTCCGCTCTCCTTAGGAGGCTTACCGCCTGATCTACCGCACCTACCTCCATGAGGGCTTCTTCAGCCTCTGGCGGGGGAACTCTGCCACCATGGTCCGCGTGATCCCTTACGCCGCCATCCAGTTTTGCGCCCACGAGGAGTACAAGCAGATCCTGGGCAGTTACTACGGCTTCCAGGGGAAGTAAGAGGCTGCTGGGGTTGGGGTCTTCTGCAACAGGGTTGGGGAACCTCAGGCCTTGGTCAGTCCAGCTGGTGAAGAGTCACGGGGGTCTCCTCCTCCTGCTGCGACGACAAGCTCCCTTCCCCCCTTGTCTCCCAGGACCAGGAGAGGCATGAAAGGTGGAGGAGAGGTTGTCTTCACACTGGCACAGTCTCCGATTGCTTGGGGAAAGCCCTGGATAGAAGGCGACTTAGAAGGCTGTGGGGAGACGGAGATTTTCAGTTTCAGCAACAGATTTTCATGGAATAAGACCACTGGGAATGAGTTGCTGTGCTCATTCGGCTCAGCTCTTAGTTGGATTAGTTTCAGCATTCATGATAGGCCAGTTGGTGAGAGCATAACGCCAAGGTTGCAGGTTCAGTCTCCCTGTGGGACAGCTGCATCACAGGGGCTGGGCTAGATGCCTCTTAGGGTCTCATCCAATGCTTCAATTCTATGATCCACCAGGAAACTTTCCCTAAAAAACTGCTCCTTCCCTGCCCACAATGGAACTGTAAACCAGTTTTGTTCAGCTGCCGGAGAAAAGAGCTGTGGGGAATTCCACCTTTCAAAAGCCTCTCTTTCTCCTTCCTGCTTCCAGGGCACTTACCCCATTGCCCAGGTTCATCGCTGGCTCCCTCGCGGGCACGACAGCCGCCATGTTGACGTATCCCTTGGACCTGGTCCGCGCCCGGATGGCCGTCACGCCAAAGGAAATGTGAGTTGGCGCTGCGGATGCTCCTGTGGAAATTTTGGGTGGGATGGGAGTACCTAAAATAACACCTCAAAGCAGCTAGATTTGCACTGTAAAAAGGTAGGTGGGCACAGGCCTTTTGGGTTTAGCTGGGATAGAGGCTCGGACGAAAATGGAATACCAAAACGACGCAGCTTTATGAAATTATTCTTTTCTCCATCAACCCCAAATGTAGCAAAAGGCTAAATCTCTAGGGGATGAAAGGCTGGATGAAAAAGGCAGGTCTTTTACAGCGGCTGATAAGTTTGACGTGGGTTCATAAGTCTTCTTTTGGGGGGTCTCAGCAAATAAAATTCTCCCCTCGTGGGATTGTTGCAAGACGTATTAATGTGCCTGCAACACAATCAGGGAGGATTTGACCTGCAGATCTCAATAAATGAGCTGTTCTGTGCAGAGAAGGCGCTCCCTCAGGCTGGAACGTAGTCTCTGGCACCAAAGCGAAGGGCTATCTGTGGTCGCCCCCCACGAATTGACATATGTCCTACCCAAAAGGAAACGCACACTCCTGATCTCCTCCCTGCTTTAAAAGTACCAGTCGGCCCACTCTTCAGGGCATGGAACTGACTTGAGAAGTAGAATCCTAGAACGGTGGTGTTGGGAGGGATCCCCAAGGGCCATCTAGTCCAACCCCCTGTAACAAAGGGGCCTTTTGCCCAACAGCCGCTGGCTTTTCCCTTCAGTGTCTTGTTCGATGTTCCTCTTCCCCTCCTCCAATGCCCTGCATGGCTGTTGTCCAGCGTCTAAAATAGCCTGGGTCCTTCTCGGGAGCACATCAGGTGTCATCGGGTGCCCAAAATAGTTAAGTTGTGATATGGGGCCTTGGTGTGTTTGTGTGTGTTGGTTGTCTCTCTTATGGCTCAGGGGGGAAAAGAAAATGTTGGCAAGGGAGCCCACCCTGTTCCTCTTTTCCCCGGCAAATATTTTTAATTTCATTTTGTGGCAGAAATAAAAGAGGGAAAACAGGTATAACGGCAGGAGAAACTTATAAGATGGAAAACAAAGCTGTAAAACAGGCATGCAGAATGAGTACTACTAAAGGTAAAAAAGGTGAAAGCTACTGCTACTACTAATAAGAATAATATTTATATGCGGCTCAGCCAGATATATATGCCCCAGCCACTCTTGAAACATTAAACACAGTAAAACATCAAACCTTTAAAACTTCCCTAAATCAACTACGTCCATTTATTTCAATGGGTCTACTTTGAGCATGACTACTTCCGTGTGCACTTCTAAATGCACTTACGGGGAAATAAACCACACCGAAAACAGCTGAACTTACTTCTGAGTAAATAGGAACAAGAATGCGCTGTAATTCATGGATTTCAGACTCTGGTTACTGAAGCATTTCATTTCTGCCGCCACGCTTTCACAAAATAAAAAAATCAAATGGAAATGAAGGAATTCAGTTGCGCAGGGGCTAAGGTCACAAAGTCCAAGTGAAGAATATTAGCTTTATTTGGTTATCCAGTCTGGTTCCAGTTTTGGGCAGTTTTCCACTGAGTTGCAATTACTATTTGAGCTGCTACAGTCGTATATCAGACCAGTTCTATAATTCTATGATTCTGGAAATATTATTTGAAATGAGCCTCTTACATATATATCTTAAGTACCTACACAAACGCATTGAGAGTTATGAGCTTGTTTTTGCCGGGTAATCTCATATGTGGTCTAATTTGAGACAAACTTGTCTTCTCAGCAAGACAAGAAGCCTTTCTGTCTTCTGATCTTTCATATTTGTCAGAGCTGGAAATCCCTCTTCTCAACAGTATGTCAAGGAGAACTGTAGAAGAAGAATAGAATAGTAGAGTTGGAAGGCACCTCTGAGGGTCATCCAGTCCAACCCCCTGGAATGCAGGAATCTCAGCTAAAGCATCCATGGCAGATGGACACCCAACCTCTGCTTAGAAACCTCCAAGGAAGGAGAGTCCACAACCTCCCGAGGGAGACCGTTCCACCGTGGAACAGCTCTTACCGTCAGAAAGTTCTTCCTGATGTTGAGTTGGAATCTCCTTTCTTGTACAGTGGTACCTCTGGTTACGTACTTAATTCATTCTTAACCTGAAACTGTTCTTAACCTGAAGCACCACTTTAGCTAATGGGGCTTCCCACTGCCGCCACGCCACTGGAACACAATTTCTGTTCTCATCCTGAAGCAAAGTTCTTAACCTGAAGCACTATTTCTGGGTTAGCGGAGTCTGTAACCTGAAGCGTATGTAAGCTGAAGCGTCTGTAACCCGAGGTACCACTGTAACTTGAAACCCTGGGTTCAAGTTTGACCCTCCAGAGCAGGAGATAACAAGCTTGCTCCCTCTTCCATCTGACAGCCCTTGAGATTTTGGAAGATGGCTCTCCTATCTCCTCTCACTCTTTCCCAGGCTAAACATTCCCAGCTCCTTCAACCGTTCCTCATCAGGCTTGGTTTCCAGGCGCTTGAACATCTTGAATAGCCAATGCTCTTGAGGAAAGGCATGGATCATGTTTCTGGTTGTGTATTCAGGTTTTTTAAAATCTTGATACGATGTTAGGCTATACTACACTGAAATGTTCTAAGGTTCCTTTGATTGTTCTTGAATCTTCTGGCCACTCCTGCTGCCCTCTCCTGCCCCACCGGTGTGGCAGGCCAGACCCTTTGATAGCCAACAAGGCTTGTTGCTCGAGAGGCATGATAACAAGACACGATTTCTCTTGCTCCGCTCTCCTGGCAGGTACAGCAACATTGTCCACGTCTTCATTCGGATATCCCGGGAGGAAGGGATGAAGACCCTCTACCGGGGCTTTGCCCCCACCATCCTGGGGGTGATTCCATATGCTGGGCTGAGCTTCTTCACCTACGAGACCCTGAAGAAGTTTCATGCAGGTAAAAGCAGCGGGGCCAGGATGCCAGGCTTGACGGGCTCCTTGGGCATCATCCAGAAGATGGGCTCTTATGAATGGCTTTTAAGATTAGGCAAATCTACGGAAGAGCAGTGGCTACTAGCCATGTCTCAGAGGTGAGCCGGCAGTAAATCACACCGTACAACTGGGAGTTAACTCTTTATTAGCAAGGACACGATCGGAACAGGAGTGTCAGGCCTAAGGAGCACAGCAGCCCCCTATGAAGCAGCCGCTGAAACTGAAGGTCCCTGCCTCCCCACCGCCGTCCAAGTCCCTCCAGGATTTCCCCCCAAGCCATCGAAGAATGCCCCTGCATGCAGCCAACCTTTCCTCCACCCTCTTCATGCCTCTCCTGGTTCTGGGAGACCAGAAGGGAGCGCAGCTTGATGCAGCAGGAGGGGGAGACACCCGTGGCTCTTCCCCTCTCTGCCTCTTGGCCTCCTTCCTCTCCTGCTTCAGCTTCTGCCTCCCATTCTGGACTTCTCTCTGCCACTGACTCTTCCCGCTCACCAAGCCTTGTTGCCTCTTCCACTTCTGACACCTCCTCCTCCCAGTCCTCTCCCCCTGGCCACTCATCATCGCCCCACTGCTTCTCCCTGGGCTCTGAGCCTTCTTCCCTTGGATGTCCCCAGCTGGTTCCTCCTGCCATTCCTCTGCCTCATAACTAATCCATGCCACTAGGATGTCTGTGCACTCCCTCCACTGTTTGGAGGCGCTACACCTCCTGGCTCCTGGCCATTGCAATTGGGGTGAGTTGCTGTTGCACTAATCCTGGCACTCTTGCAATTTCTGGGGGTCCTGGGGCCCCGTGGCGGAAGGGAGAGAGTGAGATCTGTTTGTGCCATCCCTGTGCGTCTCCACAGTTGCCCACCAGCTTTTCCTCTTCCTCCAGAGCGCAGCGGCAGGACGCAGCCCTACCCCGTGGAGCGGCTTGTCTTTGGGGCCTGCGCCGGCCTGATTGGGCAGTCTGCCTCCTACCCGCTGGACGTTGTGCGGCGGCGGATGCAGACGGCCGGGGTGATGGGCCACACCTACAGCACCATCCTGCGCACTATGCGGGACATCATCCGGGAGGAAGGACTCGTCCGCGGCCTCTACAAGGGACTCAGCATGAACTGGGTCAAGGGCCCCATCGCCGTGGGGATCAGCTTCACGACCTTCGACCTCACGCAGATCCTCCTCCGGAAGTGGGAGCAAGGGGTGAACGTGGAGAGGTAGTGGCCCGCTAGTGGCTGGCGGTTGGTACAAATGTTGGTGGAAAGGTGGGCAGGCATCCTCTTCCTCCTCCCTCCTTCCCTCCCTCCCTGAGCCAGAGGGTTCTCGCGGCAGAGCTGAGTGACCCAGGGCAATCTCTGTTAGGTCCCCACGACCGCAGCATCCTGCCCCTGCTTCCCTGAGCTTGCGTTTGCGAAAGAGAAGCCGCCGTGTCCTTTGCCGGTGGTGTTTTCTTGCTTTCCCTCTCCTTTTCCCACCGAAGTGGTTGAAATTCCTCTGAATTCTGCTTGGATTTGTGGGGAACTGGCAAGGGGTCCTTCCAGAAGGCTGCAGCCATGCTATTTACTTGATTTTGCCTCGTTGTTCTAAACCGTGGCGACACAGTCCCCCCCTTACATTTCCTGCCTCTAGCTCTCCTGCACCCTTTATTTTGTAGGAAGCCAAACTTACCTGTATGTTTGAGACGTGGGGTGTGTCTGTCTTGGGGTTGCCGCTCCCTGCGGTCTCCGCCCTCCTTCCAGCAAATGGTTTGTTTTCCAAGCCCTGGAGAATGGGGCCCTTCATCTCCCCCCTCTCCCCACTTCAAATGCTTTTAAAATTCTGCCCCAAAACCTCCTGGAAGAGGGCCAGCCGGCCCCAGGGGAGAAAAAACCAAAGACGGGATTCTTTCCTTTCCTTGGCTTTGTCCAAGGCAGAGAGGCCACGGTGCAATCTTGAATTCTCTCGCTGCCGCAATCTGCGCAGCTCCTGGTTCCAAGATGGGATCAGAAGTTTGGGATGTCGCAGCCTTCTTTCCTTGCTTTTCAGAGACTATTTTAATGATCTGTATTTAGATATGCACACCTATTTCAGAGTTCAAGCTTCGGAAGATGGCATGCGGTCGAGCTAACCTTTGCTCTTCCGAACTGTCTCTGCTTTTTAGCAGGGCTTCCCCCTCCAGTATGAAGTGTCCAAAGAGGGAAGGAATAAGGACTCTCTGGAAGAGGCATTCCTAGCCCAGAGCAGGAGGTCATAGAATCATAGATGCCTCATCTCAGATTGGAGATGGGGAAACTTTTATCCCGACGGTCAGGGATGACAACCAAAAATGGACTGCCATATGTTGCTGAACTTCCAGCAGCCAGGTGAGGATGAGAGCCAGGTGCCTTGAACATCTAGAGGGGAATCGGAGCGGAGAAGGCATTTTGCAGTTCTCCTCCTGGGAAGAGGAGTGGGTGTTTTGCCAGACCGTCCTGGGTCTCTCGCCGTGTTACGAGTTCAGGCACTCCCCACCTTCAAAAATCTCCTAGAACAGGGCAGCAATCCTGTGTCTCTCCAGATGTTGACCGACTCCCACCAGCCCTTTCCTGGAAATTATGCTAAATTAACCCTGCTAATTTCTCTCTCTCTCATCTGCCCTTCACTGCACTGCACTGCTTCCTAACACTTAGCAAGCACAATGCCTGCCTTCAACAAAACCGCACCAGGGATTCACCCACCACCACCAGATGCAAACCTCAAGAGCTTTTACCTCCCCGGTATGAAAATAGATTGAACGGGGTGATGCATGTCCTAAACAGGAAGCCCAGTTCATGAACCCCCCCCCCCCCCCGACACTGCTTATGCAGGTTGGAGTGTTTTGCACATTCTGAAAAAGATGCACTACCACTGGGAGAGCAGATCCTACACAGGGTTTCCAAACTTGGGTCTCCAGCTGTTTGGGGACTACAGTTCCCATCATCCCTAACCTCTGGTCCTGCTAGCTGGGGATAATGGCAGTTGTAGTCCCAAAACAGCTGGCGACCCAGGTTTGGGAAACCCTGGTCTACACCCACCCACCCACCCACCCCGTTTCCCCAATTCGCATTTTTCTAATTCTCCGTGCCATCAGCAGTTGTGATGGATCGCAATTGTGGCTCAGCGGGTTTTGTTTTTGTCGGGGAGAGAATTTCGGAGGGACGGCAGGTGCCACCTCGCCAGCGAAATAATGCTCATCTCACTGTGTCAAACCCAGATCTAGGGAGCATATATATAGATATATGTATATATTCTCGGAGAGAGATTGCCAGCTCAGCGAAGGCTTGCTGATTGCTAAGTCTTGAGCTGCTCCTTCCTTCGGACTCTGGGGTGCTTCCTTTTAAACCTCTGCCTGCACGTCCTAAAACCTTAAGGTAAAATAGGACAGCGTCCCTGGGGAAGATGACTTTCCCTTTTTGGGTTTAAGAGGCTGCAAGCTAGTGTCTTTTGATGGCCACACTACAGCTCCCATAATCTCCTGCCAGCTGGGACCGACAATCAGGGCTGATGGGATTGGTAGTCTAGTGACATATCTTCCTGCAAGGTTTTGAGTATTTGGGATGACCTTTTCTTCCCTCTCCCTTTTGAGTTTCCACTGCCAACCAGACTCCAGAAGTGAAGACCTGAGCATCTCCCATTCCATCTCCCTTCCTGACCCACAATCGCACCATCCCCTTCCCAGTCGGCTGTAGATCCCCCCTGCTTCCTGATAGCTTTCAGCTGTGGAGCTGGGTTTATTTTTGCAAATCTTACAAAGTTGGCAAGGAGCAGTTAATCAGTGAAAGCTATCCTGCCGGCCTTGGCGTGAGGTCTCCCTTCCCCAAGATGGACTTCAGGCGGCTAGAGAATCTTTCCTCGGATGCTCTGGGCTGTGGGTCACCCCCCCCCGCCAACCCCTTGCCCCAGCCTGCAGAGAACCAGATTTTCCAAAGCAGCGATCCCAGAGAGATGCTTTCCCTTCCCTAGAATCTAGCCCAGGGTTTCCCCAACTTGGGTCTCAAGCTGTTTTTGGACTACAACTCCCATCATCCTGAGCTAGCAGGACCAGTGGTCAGGGATGATGGGAACTGCAGTCCAAAAACAGCCAGGGAAACCCAAGTTGGGGAAACATTGACCTAGCCCCCTTCCTACCAGCATTCCTCATAACATGGAGGGGGCAGGGGTCATTTCTGGGGGGTCGCCGTAAGTTGGCTGCCCTCCAGCTTCAAGATGGCACTACAGCGACATGGGTGGGGGGTATTTGCACCTCTCTAGCCCCCATCAGGCGCCTGGAAGGACACAGTTGCTCCCTGCAGTCCTGCTCCCCAGCACCCGAGGATGGTGGTGGGGTGGCGTTTCTACAGCAGGTAGGAGAAGTCGTAATTGCAGCGGTTGAATCAATGCACAACGGAGCTGGGATCCGAGGGAGCCTTTTCCAGCTGTGCTGCAGTTGCCCGTCGTTCCTGGCCGCTGGGGGGGGCACCCCTGCTTTAAACACCACCCTTCCCTAAGAACCAAGACCTTCTGCCGGGGGGGGGGGCTCATACCCCATTGCAGGGAATGGTTCCAAGAATCTGTTGCTCAGTTCACAAGGGGCAGGGGCCAACACCCCCCAACTCATCATTCTTGATACGGGAGGGGTGCAAATTGATAGCGAGGGTCAAAGAGTGATCCGGGGGCCGTTGTCTGCCACTGGTGATCCCTGGTGAGTCCCCAGAATAGCAAGTCTGTAAACAGTGTTGTGTCCCACCCCTCAAAAAAAGCCCTGGCCAGCCCCCCTCTTGGCATGACAATGTATTAACCAGGATGGCTTTTTGCAGGGAAGGTGGGTAACTCTATGCAGGAGTGTTTGTGCGGTCCGTTGTCAAATGCTGCCTTTGTGTCTCTCAAAGCGAGTGCGTCTGACGCCTCCAGAGGGTCCTGTGCGTGTGTGGATTTTTGATCCTTTTGTTTTATACACACACACACACACACACACACACACACACACAAATGTGTGTCTATAGTGACATAACTTGTACAAAGATCTGTGCCAAGAAATGATGTATATTTAATAATAAAGAGATGATTTATCGAGGCTTGTGTGTGGATGCTCTGTGTCTCAAACAACCACCCTTGCTTCTCAGTTCTTGTTGTAGGTGCTGGGGTGGTACTGTTTTTGTAGAGCTGCAGAGTTGGAAGGGACCTCTGAGGGTCATCTAGTCCAGCCCGCTGCCGTGCAGGAACTGCAGCTAAATAATCCCTCGCAGGGGGCAATCCTGCAATGAAGGAGGGAGTGCCCACCGCCTTCCAGGGGATTCCTTCCCACTGTCAAACTCCTCTTCCTGCCAGAAAGTTCTTCCTGATGTTTAGTCAGAATCTCTTTTCTCGTCATTTGTTCAGGTCCTACCCCCCCCCCCAAAAAACCCAGAGAAAACAAGCTTGCTCCATTTTCCATGGGACACCCCTTCCTTCAGATATTAGTCTCTAGGACTGGGCAATATCTGGTTTTCAACACTGATATATCACCAGCTCAACACTGCAATATACCAATACATCACAATGTCTGAAATAAGCTAGTGAGCTATAGAGAGCCATTGGCTGGCTTCACGGTTTTTCCTGCATCGTGATTTTTGCACAGCACACATACGCATACCTAACGTGAATCGCGATATATTGCTGGCTCAAAAACTACGAAACCAATATCACGATACAAATTTTGAACCGGTTTTGGACGATATATCAATCTGCCGCTCAGCCTGCCTCAGTCTCCTCTTAGCTAGGCTAAACGTATACCCAATGTAAGTATACAGCTGTCTGAAACAACAGCTATGGGGCAGAAGCCGACCTTTCCACCAGTCCTGCTCCTGGATGTAAGTGAGGGGCTTCAGACGAGGGGGAAGGTGGCCAGAGCTGTAATTTTCAAGTGCTGTAATTTCAGTAACTTGAGCTTCCTTCTCCCTCTTTCCTCCACTCTCATATTTTCAGAGCGAAAGTCTTACTACTGGCTTTTTGCAAGTCGCTCTGAGAGGGCGGCTGGGGTGGGGTTATAAATACCATCAATAAATGCTGGTGGGAAGCTTAGGGGGAGCAACGTCCTTCCGGTGAGAGATTTCACACCTCGAGATAAAGAAGGCCTGAAATGCCACTCGCACCATCTGAAACTTGTACAAACTGTCCTGTGGACCTGCGTTTTTTCCTCTTCCCTCCTCCCTGCTCTTTCCTCCACTGCCATGTTTTTTTTTAAGAGCACGAGTCTTTAGGACTGATTTTTCCAAGCCCCTTTTTGGCTACAGTTTGGGGATACAAACACTGCATAGCTAAATGCTGGTGGGGAGGTTAAGGGGAGCAGTGCCAGTCTCCACCCCCCACCCTCCGCTGCCTCTGCCCCAAAACAAGCATAGAGGGTGAAGTGAAGCTGCTTGGTTTGCATGCAAGGCACCGGCCTCCTGCTCAAAACCCACAAGGTCCCTTCTTGGGGGAGAGATGGGGCAGATGGTGCCTTTAATTTGGGGCCTGGAGAGGCGTCGGGTGGCGGTTTGTGCTTCAAAACCCAGAGGGATGGAGAGCAGCTCACTGTTTTGTTGCACAATTGGGACCAAACAGGTCTGGCTTGTGTGCTCAGATACATTTTTAAAAGAGTGGATCTCTCCCCTCCTAATTGGCCTCGTCCGAGGCAACGCCGGCTCCTCCATGAATATATCACAAGATAGGCAGGTCTCCAGAGAGGATGTGTCTGAAGCGGCTACAGAGCTGCTCCCAGAGTGAGGTCTCTGGCCTGACTCGTAGGCACCCTGTAGGAGCAAGGAGAATAATAGAACCGGCAGTGGAAGACAGAAGTGCCTGGCGTGCTCTGGTCCAGGGGGTCACGAAGAGGGGGACACGACTAAACGACAACAACAACAACAGGGTTGAAAGGGACCCCCAAGGGTCATCCAGCCCAGCCCACTGCAATGAACAGGACACATTTTATCTCTCTCGCAAAAGAGACAGGCAAAATGCTTTGAAGTTGGGTGGAAGAGGAAGGAGGGAAGGTAAGCCATGACTTAAGGTGTTTTTTTAATCTTGTAAAAAGAGAGGCAGAAACCCCCAATCCTTCTAGGGAATAGAATTATCTACAGCCCTTCCTCAACGAACCCACACCCCAAATTCTGCCTTGTAGAAAAATCTGCTCTCTCTTTTTGTGGCCAGATTTGCATTGGAAACTGCAAATCCTGCAGCCTAGATGCAAACGACAACCTTTGCCGTCATGCAAAGACCCCTCTTAGTTTTGCATCATTTGTTCTGCAGGACACACACGCCGGCCTCTGCCCCCAACCCCAATTTTGCCATTATTGGGGGGTGGGCAAGGAGATTTACAGGAATTCTGATATATGAATACTTTTCAAGTATCTCTCCCCCCCCCCTTTTTCCCCCTGTGCAGTTTAGAAACTTGATACAGGAATGCCAGAATCAGATCATTGAGTCAATCTAACCTAAACTCACGGTCAGCTTTTTGCAATTTCAGGCAGTCCACTCCCAGGCCTACTGGGAGATGCTGGGGCTTCCTGCAACTAGGTTGGCTTCTTTTGGAACCATGAGGTCTAGGAACTTGACACAGCATTGCCTTTAAGGCCTTGTGTTTCGGCAACCGCAAGATCTGGAAACCGGAATATAAGAATGCAAGAATTGAATATATGTACAAACTCGCTACACATGAACAAGCTGTATACAAACGTAGACTTGCCATGGGCAAATTTAACAATATTTGGAATTCATTCTTATAAATAACATATTAGGTTTCAGTCTGGTTAACTACAATAACAATTTCCCCCCTCTTTTTTGTAATGTACACAATATCTTTTTTCTATTTTGTTCTCTACATGGGTACTATTTCTTGTTTTGTCTTCTTTTGTGTCTTATCTTACTCTGTGTCCTTGTAATTTTGTGCATTTTATTTTTCAGTAAAGAATTCACATTTTTTATATATATAAAAAAAGGAGTATAAGAAGAGTCTGCTATATCAGGCCAATGTCCATCTCATCCGGCATCGTGTTCTCAGCTGCAGCTAAGCAGACAAAGGCTTTTAATCCCTTTTGCAACCCTGAGATCTAGAAACTTGCTATACAGATGCTTTTAAGCCCTTTGGGGGCCACCATAAGGTCTGGAAACTTGATACCATTAAAAAAATTTTTTTTTAATGAAAGTTAAGATTCCCCAGCCAGCTGACTTCTCCGATCAGCAGCCTGCAACAGAGTTGTAAATCTCCCCAGCACACACAAAGATCGGATAGTGCAGGATCTGGCCATGGGGCAGCCAAATACCTCCTGCAGAAGTCCCGCCAACTCTCTGTGGACCATCAAAATTGGCAGCAGGCAGTAGAAGAGTTTTCCCAAAAGGTCTCTGCCTGCATAGCGCAATAATACCACGTTGGCGGCCCCCTGACCAGGAACTGACCGATTGCAATGGCCTGCTCTCCCTCTAGTCCCACCCCGAAGGGGTTGGGTGGTCTTCTGGTTTGTCCCGTCCAGGAAGCGCTCCCCACAGAAAACTTGCAGTTAGGACGCAGCCAGGTGCTGGTGGAAATACAGGCCGAAGAGGGTGGCGATGACCTGGCAGGCGGACACCCACCAGGTGAAGAAAGAGAGAAGCCCCCGGTAGAAAAGTGGGGTGAAGACGGTGCTGAAAGCCCCCAGGGCCCCCGTGATCTGCTCCACCGCTGCCTGGATGTCCTCCGTCCCCCCGTCTTTCGAGGGGGCGGCCTGCGGGGCACGAACCACATCCACTGCTGGCGAGGTCAGGGCGGGCTCTGGGTACAGCCCCCAGGAATAGTCGCCTTTGAAAGAGAGACACAGGTGAGAAACAGGGCAAGGGACACGCAACTCCTAACCCAGCCTAGTATTCGAGCCCTTTGCCGGTCGCCAGAGGCGAGCAGGAACTGCGTGCAGGCGAGCAAGTGGGCCAGTGGGTCAGCACACAGCAAAGGGGTGGACCTCCCCAGCACAGGGTGGCAAAAGCGGGCACTGGGATTGGGGCATTCCACCGTCTCTCTGTCAACAGCCTGGCTGGAGGCAGAAGAATGGCGCGAGGAGCCAACGGGGGAACCCCCAAGAGAGAAGCCTGGGGTGGGGTGGTGGGACAATGATGAGTGGTCAGAGGGAGAAGACTGAGGAGGAGGTGTTGGAAGCAAAAGAGGCAACAGGGCTTAGTGGGTGGAGAGAGTCGGTGGCAGAGAATCAGTCCAGAATCAGAGGAAGAAACTGAAGCAGGAGGAGGAGGAGTCTGGCTGGGGAAGAGTCACGGGTGTCTCCCCCTCCTGCTGCATCAAGCTGCCCTCCCTGCTGGTTTCCCAGAACCAGGAGAGGCATGAAGAGGGTGGAGGAGAGGTTGAATGCATGACAGCCCAGTCTCCGATTGCTTGGGGGAAACCCTAGAGAGGAGGGGACTTAGGCAGCCGTAGGGAGACGGGGACTTTCAGGCTCAGCAACTGCTTCATGGGGGGCAAGACCTACCAGGGATGAGCTGCTCTGCTCCTTAGGCCTGGTGCTTAGCCAAGTCTGTGCAGGTCCTGTCTTACGAATAACGATGTCACTCCAACATGCATGGTGTGATTGGCTGCCGGCTTGCTTTTGACACTCTCCTGTAGAGATGGGGAACTCCTGGGTCCCTCGTGATGTTGCTGGGATCTGGATGCCCGTCATCCCAGACCACTGGGCATGCTGGCTGCTGGGAGTTGGAGCCTAGCAATGTCTGGAGGGCCACAAAAGTTGCCCTCCCCTGCTTAACCAGCAGCATGGCACACTGCAGGCCAGAGATTGGGGGCGGGCGGGGGGATGGGGCTATTTCATCCAGCAAGCACACCCCACGATCAGGGATGATGGGAGGAAAAGTTCAGCAAACACCAGCAGGTCCATGGATGTACCCCCCCCAATTCCTGTGCTAGGTAAAGGTAAAGGGACCCCTGACCATTAGGTCCAGTCGTGATGACTCTGGGGTTGCGGTGCTCATCTCGCTTTACTGGCCAAGGGAGCCGGCGTACAGCTTCTGGGTCATGTGGCCAGCATGACTAAGCCGCTTCTGGCGAACCAGAGCAGCGCACGGAAACGCTGTTTACCTTCCCGCCGGAGTGGTACCTATTTATCTACTTGCACTTTGAGGTGCTTTCGAACTGCTAGGCTGGTAGGAGCTGGGACCGAGCAACGGAAGCTCACCCCGTCGTGGGGATTCGAACTGCCGACCTTCCGATCGGCAAGTCCTAGGCTCTGTGGTTTAACCCACAGCGCCACCCACGTCTCTAATTCCTGTGCTAGTATTTGATAATAAATGCATGTGTCTGGGTAGAAACTAAAGTGGGGGCATTGAGCTATGGGGCAGCCCCATTCAGCTCCTTGAAGGCCTCCCCTCTGCCCCCACTTACCTAGTGTTTTGAGGAGGAACGTGCAGTGCAAGGTGAGCAGGATTGGGGCCAGGTACTGCAAACTGACCACGGTGACGTAGCAGTAGATTCTGGTGATCTGTAATTCAATAATAATAATGTAAAAAACAAACAAACTCCAAAACAGAACAAAACCACCATCTTAGCAACATTGCCATTTGGCGGAATGGAACTTAAAAATAAACAGGACATTTAATTTTGCCCAGGATCAAGCCCCTCCAATGCTTAGTTTGGAACTTATGGCCGCTGCAGCAAAATGTCCCATCTGCCAGCCAGACGACACTCGCGTTTCCTCTTCCCTCTGCATACCTTTTTTCTTTCATGTTGTGTCTGTTCGGCTATCAGCATACAGCAGGGAAGGGATTGCCTTCGCTTTTAATACAGGGGTGGGGTGGGGGGAATCTTCAGGAAGTCCCAACTTGTCCCACAAAGTTGTTGCACCTGATGCCTGCACCTGATGTGTGTGTCCCCACCCCCCACCCCCCGCTCTGCCTCCGCACCTTCCGCTGGATCTCCAGGACGGCAATCCTCCCAGCCTCCCTCTTCATCTGCTCCACCCATCTCTCCGCGAGGTTCAGGTAGGCCTGCAGGTGGTGGCGCACGACAGCCAGGCGGAGGAGGCACAGAGCTACAATGGTCCAGAGGCGCATCGAATTGTAGGAAGGGTTGGAAAGGCTGCGGGCAGAAAGAGAAACAGACACACACATACAGAGGACTGCAAAGTGTGTTGTAAAGTGCATTATGGAAATAGGACACTAGATGGCGATGGTGAGCTATGGAAAATTCAATATATTTTTTCAAAACGTTTTTTTTAAAAAAAGCATTTTCACAGCGTTTTTTATATGTGCCTAGATTCCACCAGAGAGAGGCTTCCTCCATCTTTTCATACCTCAACTGGTAGAGCAGTCTTAATCTCAGGGTCGTGGATTGGGTGATACACTCCTACCTTGAAGCGGGTTGGGCTAGATGACCCTCGGTGTCCCTTCCTACTCTACAATTCTATGACGGTTTCCCTTTTTTCCCTTTTCCTTTTTTGCCAAATTGTCTTTATTGATTTTAACAAATCAGCCACATATTTAAAATCAGAATATAAAACCAGAGAATTCATAATCAAAGTAATTTCATTATCTTAGCTATTTTTAAAACGCTGGTCTGCGACCATGATAAATGGAAACTTCGAAGCTTCAAGCTTCCTGTTTGAAACAGGACTTTATTGAGTTTATTTGGCTCATTTAGGACCTTCAACTCTCCCCCCATTTCTTGCCAAGGAGCTCAAGGGAATGCAAAAGGTTCCTGGTCCCAGCAGGCAAGGATGCGTCATCCTTTCAGAGTCCACAAAGACATTTCTAGCTAGCCCGGAGGCTAGCTTCAAGGAGGAGCTAACATTCAAGGAGGAGGATGTTCCCAAAGAGCAGGTTAGATTATTTACGTAAAACAACGACAGCAGCAAAAATACTGTCTGCCCAATGATGGAAAGATGGAGAGGTTTCCAGTAAAGGAAGAATGGCTTTTGGAGATGGAGGGGAATCAGCAAGATTAACAGCAAAGATTAGAGACCAAAATGATGAAAATGCCTTGAGCTATTAGAGTAGATGAAAATGCAAGCAGGACTTGAAATATGAGCAGCAGGGCAAATTATTAGGATATGTAGGGTAAATTGAAGGCAGCCCTGTTTAGGGAAGTATTTAATGTCTGACGCTGTATTGTTTTTAATATTCGGTTGGAAGCCTCCCAGAGTGGCTAGGGAAACCCAACCAGATGGGGGGGGGTATAAATAATAAATTATTATTACTAAATTGAATGTATTTACTAGTATAGGGACAAAATATGCAGCATTCAAGGGTAAATATGGAAACCATGGAAGCGGAAGATATGAAGTCAAGGGATAAAGTAACTTATGGTTTAGGTTAAAATTTGTAAAAAAAAATTTTATCTAACTGAAAAATTAATATGAGGGTTTTTTGTTTTGTTTTTAAAAGGAACACTCAAGGATGCTGCCAGGGAGAGATGAGCAGGGTGTGTGTGTGGCCTAGGGAGAGCTCCTGGGGCCAGAGGGAGAGCTCTGAAGGGCCGCCTCTCCCTCCTGGTGATCGCAGAAGCACTTACATTTGGACGGTCTCTTTCCCCATGGGGGCGTTGAGCAGGAGGTCCCGGGAGATGGGCTTGACCCACATCAGCACGATGGCCACGGGTGCGAGGAAGCTGGCGTGGAGGAGCAGCCTGCAGTGTTGGGGGTCAAGGAGGAGAAGGGTCAGGCCGCCCACAGGCTGCCCCCTCTGCATCCCTGCCCCTTATCCCCCCACCCCCATCTTTCGGGAAGGCCAGGGGCAAGCCGTTACGCAACTGGACCACCGGCCGGTCTGCAGCCATCTTGAGGGCATCCAGGTGAGTCTGCGCCAGCCGCAGCCCTGGGAAGGTCAGGCAGGCGCCGAGGAACGAGCAGAGGGCCACCAGGCAGAGCTTGACGGTCAGCTTGGTCACGGGGACCCTGGGGGGAAGAGAGAGGGAGGCGTTTTTCGGGAAGGGCTAAGGCTGCTGGAGACGCAGAAGGGACCCCAAGAGTCATCCCTGCAAGGCAAGGCATCGCAGCTAAAGAATCCCTGACACAAAAACAGGGCCTTTTCTGCAGTGGCTCCCCCTTTGTGGAATGCTCCCTCCATGGAGGTTCAGTGGGTGCCAGAGAAACCATAGAATTGTAGGAGTTGGTAGGGACCTCCGAGGGTCATCTAGTCCAACCCCCTGCAATGCAGGAATCTCAACTAAAGCATCCAGGACAGATGTCAACCTCTGTTGAAAGCCGCCAAGGAAGGAGAGTTCTTCCTTAACAACAGCTCTTAACAACAGAAGGTTCTTCCTAAAGTTTAGTCGGAATCTCCTTTCTTGTAACTTGAAGCCATGGGTTCGAGTCCTGCCCTCCAGAGCAAGCAAAAACAAGCTTGTTCCCTCTTCCATGTGACAGCCCTTGGGCTATTTGAAGATGGCTCTCCGATCTCCTCTTTTCCAGGCTAAACACCCCCAGCTCCTTCAAGCGCTCCTCATATGGTCTGGTTTCCAGACCCTTGGTCATCTTGGTCTCCCTCCTCTGCACATGTTCCAACTTGTCAACATCCTTCTTAAATTGTGGTGCCCAGAATTGGACACAATATTCCAGGTGTGGACTAACCAAGGCAGAAAAGAGTGGGATTTTGGCTTTCCTTGATTTGTCCAGTTGAGTCAAATGAAAATTCAGCACAGGTTTTAGGAACACTCTTCCCTGCCTTTTTTGCAAACTAAAAAGTCCCAAACGCAGCAACTTTTCCTTGTAGGGAAATCACCTGGCTCATTTTGGCCAACCTTTCCTAACTCTAGAACAGGGGTCAGCAAACTTTTTCAGCAGGGGGCCGGTCCACCGTCCCTCAGACCTTGTGGGGGGCCGGACTATATTTTGAAAAAAATATAACGAACGAATTCCAATGCCCCACAAATAACCCAGAGATGCATTTTAAATAAAAGGACACATTCTACTCATGTAAAAAGACGCTGATTCCCGGACCGTGTACAGGCTGGATTTAGAAGGCGATTGGGCCAGATCCGGCCCCCAGGCCTTAGTTTGCCTACCCATGCTCTAGAATATCCTTTTTGATGTGAGCTGACCAAAACAGTCCTGGAGTGGCCTCATTTCGGACATCAGATCTCCACTTGAGGGCAGGAGGTGGACAAAGAGAAATAACTCCAGGCAGGGTTTAAGATTTCAGAGACACACTTACGTCCAGTCCCAGCCTTGCCCTTTCAGGAAGACCTCCAAGTTGTCCTGGACGCTATTCAGCCCTGTGGGGACAAGAGAGTTGGGGGAGAATGGCAGATGAAGTTGATGGACTATATGGAATTGGCGGAAATGACTGGCAGAATCCGAGACCAGGGAGAAGAGTCGGTGGAAGAAGACTGGAAAAAGTTTAAAGACTATTTACAGAAATACTGTAAAATTAATAAATGTTAGGAAAATGTTGGAATGAAATTATATGGCTTTAGTAGAAATGTTATAAGGAATTAAGTATAAATAGATTAATAGAGTATTAAAGGGAAAAATAAGGTTAGAATGTGTTAAGATAATTAAAGGATAGAAAGCAGAGGAAGATGGAAAGGAATTGCTGAAACAATTAACAGAAGTGGAATACAAAAAGGGAGGTGTGAGGAGATCATTGAAATAAGTGAATGAAAGATAAGATATTGAAACTGTTTGATGTGTTCTAAACTGTTTTTGTTTTGTTTTGTTAGTTTAATGTGTTAGTGTTAGGTATTGTTTTTGTATTGTATTGTATTGTTTATATATATATATATATATTTTCTTTGTAGTGTTTAAATTGTTGGAAAAGTAATAAATATTTTTTTTTTTTTAAAAAGAGAGAGTTGGGGGAGAATCCAGGAGAATGTTGCAGCGCGACTGCTGGCAGGAGCGAGGCCTTATCAAAATGCAGTGGCGGACCTACATTTTGCCCCCCCCCCCAAACCTGAATTTTCACAGGGAGCCCAACACAACCAGCAACGAGGTCTGGGTAACCACTGTCATCTTCTTCAAGGTCCCCCCCCCCGACAGATCACATTTTTTTTTAAAAAAATCAATCTCATATTTTCATTAAAATTGCTGTCCCGGATTATCTCACAAAGGCCAAGTCACTGGTGTGAATAAAAATCTCCTAGGTCTTAACTTTTTTGAGTTATGTGGGGATGAAAATTAGGGAAATGCAGGCACAATGCTAGAGGTGCCAATTTGAATAAAATATTGGGGGGGAGGGTGTCTGCAGGTAAGCCGCGCATAATCAGTCACATGACGTAGTGCACACACACTAGTTGAAAGGTGATGCCCATCAACTTTGAAGGGGCCCCTCAAATATTTTATTGTGGGGGGCGAAGGGTATGTGGAACGCCCTCCCTTCAGGTGTCAAGGCAATAAGCAACCATCTTATTTTTAAAAGACATCTGAAGGCAGTCCTGTTTAGGGAAGTTTTTGATGTTTAATGCTGTATTGTGTTTTTAATATTTGGTTGGTAGCCGCCCAGAGTGGCTGGGGAAACCCAGCCAGATAGGCGGGGTATAATAAATTATTCTTATTCTTATTCTTATTATTAACCTGATTTGGTATTCTAACCCTTTCGTATCTAAAAGTAATTTTAGAATTTTAGAAAATCTTAGAAAAATGAATTTTTCCATTCTTCCAACCATTGAGCGGTGCATACATTTGAGGAAATAAGTAAAATTCTTTATATATAACCAGTGCTTTGTGAGCTCGCCCCCAGCTCCCTCACCTGCGTCGAGGCCAAATTCAAGGTAGTCTTCGCGGACGACCAGGACCAGCATGGCCACCAGGAGGAAGAAGAAAGCAAAGGCCAGGCAGACGGATCGCTCGCCCCCCTCCTTGGAGCGGAAGTAATGTGTCATCACCATGAAAAAGATTTTGCTGAAGGGAAGGGTTGCGCTAAGGATCACATGCCGGAAACATCACTTCTCCCGAGAAAGACAAAGGTTTCACTGTATTCATTCATTCATTTGTCTCTAGACATTTTTTCCCCAATTTTAGATTTTTTTTACAGACACACAAATTGAATAACTTCCCAATAAACAAACATATAGGTATATATACAGAGAGAGAAAGAGGCCTTTCCCTTCACCCCCTTTGAGGTTTCTTATAATGTTAATTTTTAACACTGCATTTCCTACGTTATTCCATTTATTAGTTACTCCCTGGTTTTTACCTTAATCTTGCCAATGAACTTAATTGTGTACAACTTTTTTTATTCAGATACAGTATTCCACAAATTTTCCCCGTTCCTTGATGAAATTTCTTTCTTCTTGGTTCCTTATTCTTCCCTTCGTTTAGTCTGACACTCCTTCTTGGTTGGGACACAATCCTGAAATAGCTTCACTTTTGGGATTATTTCATTCCCGCTGTTCCCTTCACGGAACTACAGTTCCCAGGGTGCTCTATCAATCCGCCCCTCTTTCCCCGCAACTAACTTGGGTCCCTAAATCCCATTGGGTCTACTCTGAGTATCACTTCGGCCACCTTAATTGACTCTACACAATTGAAAGCTCTCTGATGCCTCTTTAACAACCATGGCATTCCCCTCCAAAGAATTCTGGGAGCTGTAGTTTGCTTGGGGCGGTGCTGAGAGTTGTTAGGAGACACACAACCCACCCATTCCTCTCCCAAAGCTACAATTCCCAGAGTTCCCTGGGAAGAGGAGGAATTCATGGTTAATCCACTGCCTCTCAGCTTCCTGGCACCTCCTGCAGAAATATTGTTTTGCAACCACAAGATCTATAAACTGGAAATTCAAATGCTTTAAAACTTTTTTAAAAAAAAATCCTGAGGTCTAGAATCATACAAGCAAAGAAGCATAACACTGCAAGGTGGGAAGGGGTCCTGAGGGTCATCTAGTCCAACCCCCTGCAATGCAGGAACCTCAACTAAAGCATCCAGGACAGATGCTTAAAAACTTCTGCTTAAAAACTTCCAAGGAGGGAGAGTCCACTGCCTTCCATCCCTCAGTTGAACTGCTCTTAACGGTCAGAAAGTTCTTCCTGATGTTTAGTTGGAATCTCCCTTCTTGTAACTTGAAGCCATGGGTTCGAGTCCTGCCCTCCAGAGCAGGAGAAAACAAGCTGGCTCCATTTTCCATGGGGCACCCCTTGAGATCTTTGAGGATGGCTCTCCTATCTCTTCCCAGCCTCCTCTTTTCCAGGCTAAACACCCCCAGCTCCTTCAACCGTTCCTCATCAGGCTTGGTTTCCAGACCCTTGACCATCTCGTTCACCCTCCTCTGCACACCTTCCCAACATCCTTCTTCAATTGTAGTGCCCAGAACTGGACACAGGACTCCAGGCCTCTGCCCAGGAAACTTGGCGCATTTCTTAAATGGAAGCTCAATTTCTCAGACTGACAAATCATGATGCAGACACTTGTGAAATGGGAAGTGGTCATGAGAACCTAAGAGGAGCCTTCTGGATCAGGCCAGGGGTCCAGTATCCTGCTCTCACATGGGCCAGGGAGATGCCCAAAGGGGAAGTCCACAAGCAGGATCCAAGCACAAGAAAACTCTCCTCCTCTGATGATGATTATACCCTGCCCATCTGACTAGGCATCCCCAGCCACTCTGGGCCCCATCTGCCCTTGAGAGCCCTCTTCTAGTTTAGAGCTGGAAGGGACCCAGCGGTCATCCAGTCCAACCCCCTTGCAATGCAGGAATCTCAAGGTGTTCCTCAATTGGCCCAATCCTCTTTTAAAGCCGTCCCAGGTTGGTGGCCGCAAACGGCGTCCCCGAGGCCAAAGGATACACGGAGAAGATGACAGCCAGCAAGCACCAGAGAATCCCAATGTTGGCTTCCTTCCGGGGGTCAACCAGGCAGTAGTAGCCTTCGGTGAAGACGTAGATCCCGGTGGCGTACGCTGCAAAGTCCACGTACCACTGATATTCCAGGAAATAGCACAGCACTAAGCGGAGAGAAGAGAGACAGGAAGATGCTCTGACCAGCTGCACCCAAAAGCCTCTTCCAAAAAGAAGAAGCAAATTTCCAGGCCTTGTGGAATGGTCTAGAATGGGTAGGAAGGGACCCAGAGAGTCATCTAGCCCAACCCCTGCAATGCAGGAATCTTTTTGCACAACGTGGGGCTCAAACCCACTACTCTGAGATTCAGAGTCTCACGGTTTGCCGACTGAGCTATATTCCAAATAAATGGTTGATTTGACAAGGAACTGTGGAGCCTGGCTTCTCTAGAGCCATCCAGCTGAGTATTGAATCGGACCCGGAAACTAACTGGCAGTCAGTGCAGTCGGGCCAGGATCGGGGCAATATGCTCAAACTGTCTTAACTCCAGTGTGCAACCTGGCTGCCAAATCCTGCACCACTGAAGAGTTTCAGTGTATAATAATAGCAATACCCCGCCCACTCTGGGTGGCTTCCAACAAATTAAAACACAATTAAGACATCAAACATCAAAAACCTCCCTATACAGTGGTACCTCTGGATATGAACGGGATCCGTTCCGGAGCCCCGTTTGCATCCAGAAGTGAACGCAACTCGCGTCTGCACGGGTCACAATTCGCCGCTTCCGCGCATGCCCGTGATGTCATCTTGACCATCTGCGCATGTGCGAGTGGCAAAACCCGGAAGTGACGCATTCTGTTACTTCCCGGTGGCCGCGGAGCACAACCTGAAAGCGCTCAATCTGAAGCAACTTCAACCCGAGGTATGACTGTATAGGGTGTCTTCAGCTGTCTTCTAAAAGTCAGATAGTTATTTATTACCTTGACATCTGATGGGGGGGCATTTACACTCTTTTTTGTTGGGAGCCGCCCAGAGTGGCTGGGGCAACCCAGTCAGATGGGTGGGGTATGAATTATTTTTTAAACCTGTAAGCTTCCTGGCGAAGGGGGGAATTTGAACCCTGGTCTGCAGTCAGATAGGTGGCATATAAATATTATCATCATCATCATCATTAAACTGCTTAGAAACTCCTTTGGCATGTAAGCGATATATAAACAAGTACCTAATACTAATAATACACAAATGCCGTCTACGATCCCCGTGACCCGCTGGGCAGCCTATGGCAAGTGGCAGGAAACTTGCTTGCTTCAGGGAAAATTGGGCACAATGCTCTCTGCCAGCCAAAGGGACTAGAAACTTGGCTCTGACAAACAAAAGCTACAACAATCTCAGGAAGAAAGGCTTGGGGTGTCCCTGAGGGGACCAGACTCCCGAAAGCTATTTGGGGAGGGGAGGATAGGCAGCCCCCCATTTCTGCCCGAGGGAGGGAGCTTAGGGGATTTACCCAGAGCGTCCACGGCGGTGATGGGGCTGCTGTCCAAGCGAAGGTCAATATCCCGGGGGACGGAGGAAGGCTTTTCCTCAGTGACGCCGTTGATCTTCCTGTCAGACAGACAGACTAACGTCAGTCGGTTGGCGCCAGAGGGAGCTGTGTGGTCCAAAGACGGCGCCAGGGGGGCCAAGATGGATCTAAGTTGCCCCCACGCCTTTCCCGGGTGTCTCCATGCTGCAGGTGGAGACTCATAGTTCCTTCCCCACCGCTGGCCACCAGCTCCCTCAGCCCGCTGGACGGTCAACTCTACTCACCGCTCCCTCTTCCCCTTTGGCCTGGGCTTCCCCGCCAGGGCAAGCAGCTCCTCTTCCGAGGGGTGTTTGAACCGGCGAAGGCTGGAGGAAGAAGAGGGGGAAAGGGCTCACCAGACAGACATTGGGCCAAACGCAACTCAAGAGAAGTCCCATTGGGATGGGTGGGAAATGATATATAATGAAATGAAAAAATGTTCAAAACCACATTTGTTAAAAAACCAGAGGCTTTTTTACTAGGAATATTAGGAGATGAAGTGCCAAAGAAACAAAAAAGACAATTTATATATGCGACCACAGCTGCCAGAATGTGACTTGCCCAGAAGTGGAAAGAAGAGAACGTACCAACGAAAGAAGAATGGAGGACTAAGGGGACAGACTAGGCCAAAATGGCAAAACTCACCGTGAAGATCAGGCACCAAGATGAAGAAGAATTTAATCATGAATGGGAAATTTTTGTAGATTGCTTTAAATAGCACTGTAAAAATGGGGAAACACTAGCAGGATTTTTGTAGCATTTGTGAACTGAAGGTAGAATTATGATGTGAAAAATAATTATAAGAATTATAAGCAAGGAAAATAAAATTAAAAAAACAGAAACTGGGTGTGGGGGGGAAGTCAATCAATGCAAATTTGGATTTGATATCAGAAAAATTAAAAAAAATATTTTTAAAAAAAGATGGGCAAGGGCTGGCATGGCTCTATTAAATTCATTGGCTCTGCTCCTGAGGAAAACATAGGCCACATTTGTGTCCTACGTTAATCATCATCATCTCATCATCATATTTATACCCCACCCATCTGGCTAGGTTTCCCCAGCCACTCTGGGCGACTTCCAGCAAAATATAAAAAATAATATGTCAAATGTTAAAAACTTCCCAATACAAGGTTAATAATAATAATAATAATAATTGTGTTATTTATAATAATTTTATTGTTTATAATAAAAACTTAAATCGCTTTTGATGCCACTTTAAACAGTCATGGCTTCCTGGGGAACTGTAGTTCAAAGGCAATGGGTGCTGTGAGGAGGTCCCCACTTTTCCCCTCTGAGAACTACAATTCCCGGACCAGTTTAGCAGCTCATCTCCCTTCCCAGGGAGCTCTGGGAATGCTAGTCCTGAGAGGGGAAAGACTCCAGGGAGCTGTAGTTTGTTTGGGGTGCTGGGCACTGGGAAGAGGCTCCCTATTCTCCTTTGCAGAACTACAGTTCCCAGAGCTCCCTGGGAAAAGGGATTGATAGTTAAAACTGGAGGGGAAAGTGGGGTTCCCTAACAACTCTCAGCACCTCTCTGTATGCCAATAAAGGTTGATTGATTGATTGATTGATTGAAACTACAGCTCCCAGGATTCGTTGCGGGGGGGGGGGGCGCCGCTGCCACAGTTGTCCAAAGTGATATCATGCCGCTTTAAAGGCAGGGTGTAGATGTGAGCCTACAATTCCCAGAGTTCCCTGGGAAGAAGGGTGGATTGCTTAATGATGTTGGGAACTGTAGCTTCACATGGGGAATAGCACCCTAACAAACTACAGCTCCCAGAATTATTTGGAAGCCCTGGCGGTTTTAAAGCGGGACCAGAGCTTTTTAAAGGTCTGGCACGAACGCGGCCACAGCCTAACCGAGCCGGCAAATCTGGTACGAACGCCAAATAAACAGGGAATAAATTCAATGGTGTTTTTCTGCAGGTGGAATTGCGGACAGACGGATAAATTTGGGGGTGGGTGAGTCCAGAGGCCGAATGTGGGAGCCCCCAAGTCCCTTTTACTTCCATCCACGGTCAAAAAATAATAAGTAAATTTTGACTTCTTGCTGCACTCCTGAGGAACCTCCCTGCCATCCCCAGCCCTGCGAAAAAGGGGATTTCTGGTACCTTCCATTGCAGAGGATCCACCGGGCGAAGGACCAGTGAGGGGCCATCTTTTGCATGATGCTGGCCACCAGCAGGGAGACCACGAGCTGCACCCCCATCACCGCCTGTGGGGAGAAGCAGAGGAAGAGGCCTTGGGTCAAGTCCAGTGTTCTATTCTCGCCAAAGTTCTATTCATCATCATCCCCTCCAACATTTCTCCAATGAAAACAGGGATGCCCTATTCAATGATGATGATAAGTCGGATAGCTTAGTTTTGTAATGCGAATATAAGGAACTGATTTACATATAATGAGGTGAAATGTAAAAAGAAGATGGAAGGTAAAAAAGGGGTTATGGAAATGCTAAGAATTTAGTAAAAATGTTCAGAAGTCAGAAAGAGGGAGGGAAGGAAGGAGGTCAATGCTCTGTTTGAGCAATGTTTTAGGCTATAGATTTATGTAACAAAATGTGATTATGATAAATATGGAAAACTCAATAAAAATTATTGTTAAAAAAAGAAGAAGAAGATGGTAAGTCGGATAGCTTAGTTGGTTAGAGCATGGCACTGAAGCCATCCAGAGAGGCTGTGGAAACCCAGCCAGATGGGGGGAGGTATAAATAATAACATTATTATTATTATTATTATTACTACTATTATCATTCACTTCAACATTTCTCCAACAAAAAGAGCAAAATCCTGAGGAAAAGTGGGACATCCTAGGATCAAATCAGAAACCGGAATGGCTCCCGCAAATTTGAGACTGTCCCTGGAAAATAGGGGCACACCAAGGTTGGAGCTTTGCTCCCCACAAGGGACAGCTGCCTATTCTTGCACTGCTGGAGGTTGGACTGGATGGCCTTGTGTGAAGGATAGCTCCGTTGGCAGAGCATGAGGCTCTTAATCTCAGGGTCGTGGGTTCAAGCCCTATCCTGGGCAGAAAGATTCCTGGGTTGGACTGGATGACCCTCAGGGTCCCTTCCAACTCTACAGTTCTATGCCTTTGGGCTGATCCAGCAGGGATCCTGCGTCCAGTTTTAGAAGCAGGTAGTGAATTTCTCATCCCACTTTTCAGATCCACCTCAACGTTCGCCCTCCACCCCGCCCCCCGCCCCAAATCCTACACTTTGCACCTCTCTGTTGGTGTTGATCTTTAAAGCCCTAAACGGCCTCGGTCCAGTATCCCTGAAGGAGCGTCTCCAGCCCCATCGTTCAGCCCGGACACTGAGATCCAGCTCCAAGGGCCTTCTGCCGGTTCCCTCCCTGCGAGAAGCCAAGTTACAGGGAACCAGGCAGAGGGCCTTCTCGGTGGTGGCACCTGCCCTGTGGAACGCCCTCCCATCCGATGTTAATGAGAACAACAACTACCAGACTTTTAGAAGACATCTGAAGGCAGCCCTGTTCAGGGAAGTTTTTAATGCGTGACAAAGATTAAAAACCCAGAAAGATTAGAAACCCGGCCAGATGGGCGGGGTACAAATAATAAATTACTATTACTATAACTATTACTGTACCAAAAACATAGACCCCATGTAAGGTTAGTGCAGAAATATTGACTCCCTTTCTATTTTAGGGGCAGGAAGTGGAGCTGGCGGCCAGCTATGTGGCCTGGACACAGGATTCAAATTTCAAGGAAGGAGATTCCCATTTAACATTGGGGGAAACTTTCTGACAGTGGAACGGTCTTCCTCGGGAGCTGGAGGACTCTCCTTCCTTGGGAGTTTGTAAGCAGAGGTTGGCTGGCCCTCCGTCCTGGCTGCTTGAGCTGAGATTCCTGCATTGCGGGGGGTTGGAATGGATGACCTTTGGGGGTCCCTTCCAGCTCTACAGCTGCATGACCCCAGAAGGTGGTGGTCTCATCTCTCCTTCCTTGGAGGCTCTTAAACGGCGGTCGGATGACCAGCTGCCAGGGGTTCTGCAGCTGTGCTTGGTGCCTTGCGCGGGGTTGGGCTAGATGTCCTTTGGGGGTCCCCTTCCAACGCTACCGTTCTGTGGTCCTGGGACCCTGGCAAGCATGCAAACCTTCTCTCTCATGCAGAAAGCAAACCCACTTGCCCCGCAGCCCAGCTCCAGCCCCCTAAGTCCATAAAGACCCAACAATGCATTTTTGCAAATTTTTTTTTAAAACTTACCATTTCTTTTAGGGTCCCGAGCAAAAAACAGCCCCAAATCAAGAGACAAGCAAGGCAGGCAAGTTTCCCTGCACTTCTGATCTTGCAGACCAAAGAAGGAGTGAGACCCCCCCAGCCAATCACAAGCGGCACTTCCAGTTGATTGCCAGCCAGCCAGCCAATGACAAAGCGAAATTAAAAAAATTAAAAGGTTTGAAGGGAGGCGGGGATTTTTGCCATCCCCCACCTGTTTCCGGTTTTCAGGCTCCTGCCAAGCGCGTTGCATTTCGGGGCTTGTAGTTTCCTTTCCCAGGTGAGGTTCTTTAAGATGGAACGGAGAGAGAATTTTTTTTGCACGTTTTCCTCTGCAAAAATTCGAAAGGTTTCTCCTTCCCTGTAAATCACACGCGCCCTTTTGCAGCCAGTGTGCATGTCTTTAAAAGAGGACTGCACAAATCTGTGGGATTTTTCACGAATTCAGGGGCTTCCCCCGGTTGTTGGCACCCGTCTGTCACCTCCGGAGGTGAAGTCAAATCGCTGGGGAATCAGAGCACCGACTGCGGCTGCAGAGGCCCGTAACCCCTGCATTGCGGGGGGTTGGACTAGATGACCCTTGGGGTCCCTTCCAACTCCACAATGCTATGATTCGGTGCAGTTGTAACTGCTGCCTCCAACCGCCTTAGCGTCTCCACTCTGGATTTGCGTAGGGTTCACTCCTGAGCCTTTTCTTCCCCCAAAGACATCCTGCAAGGCAGCAGAGGTTAAGGATCAGAGTTTTCCTTACCCTAGATGGGCTCCCTTCCCAGGTGGACGAGCCCCATTTGCCCCTCACTTCCCTCTACAGAAACTGCCTTCTTGATCACTGTTGGGCTATTGCCATTATTATTATTATTATTATTATTAATTATTAATTCCCCAGCCACTCTGGGCGGCTTCCAACAGAATATTAAACTACAATAATCTATTAAACATTAAAAGCTTCCCTAAACAGGGCTGCCTTCAGATGTCTTCTAAAAGTCATCCCTTCAATCCACCGGAACCTGTCTTTGCACACAAGGGGAGTCCCTAACTCACCAAGCGTTCAAGGCACACCGGCTCCCCTCACCTGGTTCAGCCCGCCAGTCAAAGCCATTCCCAAGACTGTGGCCGCTGTCACCTGCTGACAGCTTCTAGGAGCCACAGGTGAGAGCTGGGCGGAGGTGGGGAGCAAAGGTGGGCCCCAGAAGGAGCAGGACATGTTCCCAAAAGCAACTTTCCTGAACTTGGAGGTGAGAGAACTGAATCCTAACCGCCAGACCACCAGAGGGTAGCAATGCTTCTGAAACGGGTGCTGGAATCCGCAGGAGGAGAGAGGGCTCTGGTGTTGGGGTTCTGATTGGCTGGCAGAGATGCAGGGTTGCCATGGATACGCCTGTGGGCGATGAGAGGTCCTTCTGGTCCTTGTCCACTGGGTGGTGCTTCAGAATTTCTTTTGGAGTGAAGTTTACAGCTGGCAGTAGAGCCGCTGCTTTGCATGCAGAAGGGCTAAGCAATGACCCGAGTTTCCTATGTTCCCAGGAAAACAGCTTTCCTCCCCTTTTTTAAACAAGTACTTTGCTGGTGACTCACTGTCACACAAAATCACCGCTATGCAAAAGACTGATGGATTCAAAGTGATGCTCTATATGTGTTGTTGTCCACTTAACATCACAGGGGCGAATAACAGTTTGTCCAAACGGGTTTACCCTGTGTCCCCCCCCCCAATCCCCCCAAGAAACGCAGATTTCGATTCCGTGTGGGGTGAGGATGGTGTGAAAGGACAATCCCTATGTCTTTATTCCTGTGATGAATGTAATGGAGGTAGAGTGAATCATAGACTTGCAGAGTTGGAAGGGACCCCCAGGGGTCATCCAGTCCAACCCCCTGAAATGCAGGAATCTCAGCTAAAGCATCCAGGGCAGTTGGCCCCTCAACCTTTGCTTAAAAACCTCCAAGGAAGAAAAGACTCGAAGCAAAACGGTTCAACATCCACCTTCTTCTTTTTTCATTTTCACTTTATTTCTTTAACAACATTTATATATCATTTATTCACCGAAGCCTATAAGCTTTTTGTATTCTGCAGCTCTGCTCAGGTCCTGCTAGCGGGCTCCTCACTGGGGCATATTCTTGTTTTTCAGGCTCTGTTAATGTTTTCATGTTAAACATTTTGCCTTGGGCCTGTTGGCGTTCAACGTCTTTATAAGCTACTTGGACCAGGGAACTGAGGAGATTTGCGTCAAATTTGCAGGTGACACTAAACTGGGAGGGGAGGCCAATGTGAACCTCTCCATCCTAGGCTTATGTTGTGTATATACTCAATAAGACCATATATCCTAACTGCAAGGAAACCAAACTCTGAGTAATCACTGGGACCCCCTGGAATTTCTCACCATTCAGAGATCAGGGCATGTGCAACACTGGTGTCAGAAGTGGGATTGTGTTTCCTGGGGTAGGAAGTGGGAGCCCTTCCACCCTATGCTCGGGTTGCACAGATGTGTAAATAAACCCTAAAGCCACTGTGTCTCTCCTGACCTCTATTCGAACTCTGGGTAAGCACCTGCCCCCCTCCGGAGTCTCTTCCTGCTTGCAGGTTGGGCTGACTTGTAGCTGCATTTTCCCCTCCACAGCTGTTAGCTGAAGGGGGACCCCTTCTCCACTGTGGGTCTGGGTTAGGTCTTCACTCTGGCGTCCCAAAGGAGGCCTAGCGCCTTTGTCCGGGGTCTCTCAGACATTCCTGCAGTCAGGGACTCGGAGGGTGTGTGTGTGTTGTTGTGTTGTGTGTGGCGACAGCAAGGAGACCAGCCTGTCCCGGATCACCGGCGAGGGTTTCGCGGTCTGAGGAGCAGCTGGCCACGAATCCCTCCCCACCCAGAGTGGTGGCGCAGAGCATAGTGCGGCCCTGCGCACGTCTGCGGGCAGGAGGTACTTAGCATCACAATGCCAGAGGGCCTGTGAACTCCTTGCTCTCCAGACCTCTCCGCCCGAGAGCCCTGATGAATGGGGGCCTTGGGGGTTTAGCATAACAAACCGGCACATGTCGTTGTTGGCCCCTCACACAAACACACCCACCCTTGGCCTTTCCCCAAGAAGAGGGTCCCTTCTTCGTACAGGAATCTGGGACAGGGCGCAATATGGGCACGGGGTTTCATTTATTGGGGGAGTGGGCATTTTCCATCTCTCTTTCATATCAAGATTAGATGCCATCTATCTGATATTTGGAAAGCTTCCAAAGCAATAGAGAGAAAGAAATAGGAAAGAGTTCTGTTAGAAAAAACTGTAGTGAAAGAATGGAAAATTAGAAAACATAACCAGAAGCCTTTTAATTCTTTTCCTCTCATGGTTCCTGTCTTTTCTTTTCTCTGCCTCAGTTTCCCTCTTGGTTTCTGCCCTTCCTTCCCAGACCCTCCCGGTATCCCTATTTTCCAGGGACATCCCAGATTTACAGAAGCCGTCCTGGTTTCTGATTTGATCCTGGAATGTTCCACTTTTCCTTAGGATGTCCCTATTTTCATCGGAGAAATGTTGGAGGGTATGATTAGTTATGTGACCCCAGAGCTAAGGCGACCAGTAACTAGACAACTGTTAGAAGACACCTGAAGGCAACCCTGCATAGGGAAGTTTTTTAAATGTATAATGTTCTATTATGTTTTTATATATAATGGAAGCTGCCCAGAGTGGCTGGAGCAACCCAGTCAGAGGAGCGGGGTATAAATAATAATATTATTATTATTATTATTATTATTATTATTATTATTATTATTATAGAATGGGATGTCCCAATTTTCAATGGAGAAATGTTGGAGGGTGTTCCTTCCTTCCTTCCTTCCTTCCTTCCTTCCTTCCTTCCTTCCTTCCTTCCTTCCCTCCCTCCCTCGTTCCTTCCCTTCCTTCCTTCGCCCCCACTTTCCTCTGGGCTTCCTCCTGCCGTCTGCCTCAGTTTCCTTTTGGAATCTCCTTTCTTCCTTTCCTCCCTTTCACTTTTCGTGCCCTCCCATTGCCACCCCCCTTCCCCACCCCACAATGTCAATTCGCCCCCCCCCAAGGCAAGGCCTTGCATGTTTCGAAAGGTCTGTCAGCAGCTCTTTGCCATTCGACCTAGATGGAGCCTCCCTAGTCCAAGACAGTCTATCACATTGTATCCCGGCTGCTGGGGGAAGAAATAAGAAACGAGGGCTGTTTCCTTGAGGACTTCCCAGAGCCAGGACCTGAACCAATGGAGTCAAGTCACAAGAAAGGAGCGCCCCAACTAAACTTTAGGAAGAGTTTTGCATTGTTTGGTCATGGCACGGATTCCCCTGGGAGGTGATGGACTCTCCTTCCTCGGAGGTTGGGTGGCCACCTGCCAGGGATGCTGTAGTTGGACTAGATGAGCCTTGGGGTCCCTCGCAACTCTACGACCCTACGATGCCTGTGTTTCTGGAGGGATGGTGGAAGAGGGAGCGGGGAGGATGGCGTTGGGGAGAGGTTACAACTTTTTCTCTTTTGCCTGGTTGGGCAGACACAAAAGGGCCCCATCCCTGGGCTTAATCCGCCGTTAACTCTGTCCACAGACCACCCAGCAAATGAGCAGCCAGCCATAGGAGATCCCTCCGGTGGGGAATTTACAAGCGACTTAAGGATTTAGCCGGACTTTGGCCCAGATCTGCTCGCCCTCGCCGGAGCTGTCAGGCTGGAGATTAGCTCTTGTTTCCAGCTTGCCGGAGGAGACGTGGCAGAAGCCGCTGCTCTCCTCCGGGTTTTGCCACCTGAGCGCAAGAAAAACCTGCTGGACCACAGCATCGTAGAGTTGGAAGGGACCCTGAGGGTCATCCAGCCCAACCCCCTGCAATGCAGGGATCTCAGCTAAAGCATCCAGCACAGATGGACACCCAACCCCTGCTAAAAAACCTCCAGGGAAGGACAGTCCCCCACCTCGCGAGGGACTGTCCCACTGTCAAACAACCCATGGCCCATCGAGTCCAGCAACCTGTTCTCTCAGCGTGTACCCCAATGGGAAGTTTGCAAGCAGAACCTGAGTCCAAAATCATTTCTCCCTGCTTGAAATTGCCAGCGCCTGGTATTCAGAGGTAGAGCATGGCTGAGTAGCCTTCGATAGCCGTATCCTGCTCCCTCGCCCTCGAATTTGTCCAAACTCATTTTAAAGCCAACCGAGTCAGTGGCCATTGCTACCTCTTGTGGCAGGGAGTTCCGCTGTTCTAACTCTGCACATATGTTCGTACCATGTCCTACACTGAAAAATTTCTGGCAGAAGGCAATAAAGGCAATCAAGAGGACTGTACGGAACAATCTTAAATTTGCAGAGGAAAATATCCTTTTGAATTATATATCTAAGACATGGAATCTAACAAAAATCTAACAATTTTTGCCCTTACGACAGCAAAAAGAGTAATATTGATGAACTGGAAAAATTAAAATGCAGCTGCCTGTAATGATTGGATTGAAGATTTGTACGAACTCGCTACACATGAACATGTTGTGTACAAATGCAGACTTGCTATGGTTAAATTTGGCGATATTTGGAATTAATTTTTATAAACACTGTATTTCGTTAAGGTCTGGTTAATTATAATAGCCAGCCCCTCCCCCTTTTGTAATGTACACTTTTTTGTTATTGTTATGTTTTGTTTTGTACATGGATACTATTTCTTGTTTCATTTTTTATGTCGTTTTTGTGTCTTCTTTCTCTGCGCATTTGTACTTTTGGACTTTTCATTTTTCAACAAAGAAATAGACACACACATGCGCACACTGAGCTGCACAAAGAATTCCTTCCTTTCGCCTGTGCTGATTCCACCAGTGTAATTCCTGTTACAAAAACCAGGCTCATGGCATGTGAGGAAAGAAGGCAGAGGAGGGAGGAGGAAAAAGCCATATTTATTAAGGCAATTCCATCCCCGTGTGGTAAGTCAGCCATGGTGCGCTTGCTCAGCCCCTGCCCAAAGTCCAGTCCTGACGGCACCACAAAGAATGGTTTGGCTTCAACAACAAAACGCTAGTTTTGGCAGGCTCCTGTTGACAGGCTCCTGGGTTTCACTTTTCAGAAAGCTGAATATTTCAGAAGATTGAATTGAATAGTTGGGAGATTTAAGGTGGACAAAGATGATCTGTTCA